GCGGCGCGGTGGCGAGCAGCGCTCGGGCAGGGCAGTACGCGCGGCGGCGAGCAGCGCGCGGGCAGGGCAGGGCAGGGCAGGGCATGCGCGGCAGTGCGACGCATGGCAGGGCAGGGCGGCGCTGCGCTAACAGGGCGGCGCGACTCGTGGGGTAGCTCGGTTTGGTGGGCCCTAAAAAAAAAATCGGTCCTAGGCTAGGATCTGCTCTGAAACCATGTCAGCAGAACGAACGAGAATGTGTGAACTAGCAGCATCCAGGAGCACAAGTAGTAAACCCTAAATTGGGTTGTACCCCATATGGGCTACCCCACTACAGCCTACACAATATGCAACATATGAGATTGACACATGTATCTCACTCTCTACTTCCTCACGACTCGCCTTCCTGACTCTTTTCGCGCCGTTAGAGACCAATTCCTCTCCCTAGACCCCACTGAGCTCACCCTTGCCTTGTTTGAGACCCGTTTCCTCGAGGCTGAGATAAGTGCCCACGCTGTAGCTGCCTCCTGTGGCTCTCCCAGCCTCTCCTTCTTGGAGGGGTGCTCCCCCTCCCTTCTCACGCCCTCTGTTGTCTCAGCTGCCACTTTTGACCTCCTCGGTCCTGAAGAGGTCGGTGCTTCGTCTGCTCTTAGCGGGAGGCGCCGAAACAGGGGTTGGGCGTCCGAGGAGTAGGGGCGATAGGGGTGGTGGAGGTGACGGTAGCAGTGGGGGTGGCGGGGGTGGTGGAGGTGGCGGTCGCGGTGCGAGTGGCAGGGGTGGTGAAGGCAGTGAGGGTATTGGGGTTGGAGGACAGGGCTTGGGTGGCAGTCGAGGTGGAGCTGACGGAGGTGGAGACCTAGGTGCGACGACCCTGGTAGCTGCATCTGGTCGTGTAGAGGCTGCTACTGTAGGTGCTTGTGAGACCACTAGCACAGGTGCAATTCCTGAAGGTTGTGCCTGTGGTGCAGTCGCGGAAGACGCACCGAGACGCGCCTGGTTCCAGCGTGAAGGTTGTCGACGACTTCACGCGCTACACCATGATGTTTCCCTTACAGCATATGGGAGACGTTCGTATTGTGTTGATCCCTTAATTCCACGATGTTTGCCACCAGTAGAGCGCACGGTTTCGCCATGACCTCCCGGTGCTCCATCTTCACTCTAACCATCGTGGCGAGTTTGCCTCTAGTCTCCTTAAGGAATTTTGTCATGAGGAGGGCATCACCCGGTCGTTCATGCTTCCGGCCTCTCCACAGAAGAATTGGATCGCTGAGCGTTGCATTGGCTTGATCATGGAGGTTGTTCGCACCTCCATGATCCATGCGGCTGCTCCCCATTTTCTGTGGCCGTTTGCGGTCCAATATGCCGCGTATCAGCTCAACCTCTGGCCCCGTGTCTCCCAGCCAGAGACCTCCCCTACCTTGCTTTGGACGGGGGAGGTTGGCGACGCGTCGGCGTTTCGGGTCTAGGGTTCGCTTGCCCTTGTCCGCGAACTTACCACGAGCAAGCTCTCTCCTCACACTATACGCTACATCTTCCTTGGCTTTCCCACCGACGCCCTGCCCTGGAAGTTGTACTACCCTGCCACGCACCGCGTCCTGTCCTCCCGCGACGTCACGTTTGACGAGTTGGTTTGCTACTACCAACTTTCCCCCCACCGCAGTTCCCCTGTCCCCCCCCTCCCCTCACCCTGGTTCCAGGTTACCCCCCGTCTTCGCCGCCGTTTCAGCCTGTCGCTCGGCAAACGTCACCGGCCTTCAACTCCTCGGCCTTCACACCGCCATCACTCCCGCCCCGCGCATCGTCGAACCCAAGAACCCGCGGTAGGCTCTCACAGGTCCACACGCCAAGGAGTGGCGTGCAGCCATAGACGCGGAGCTGAAAGCGCTGGAGTCACGAGACACATGGGTCCTAGTCGATCGTGCAGCAGTGAAGGGGAGGAGGTTGCTAAGCGGAAAATGGGACTTTCGTCTCAAGACCCCGCTGACGGAACTATCGAGCGCTTCAAGGGTAGGTGGGTCGTACGCGGGTATGACCAACGCCAGGGCATCGACTTCGACCAGAATTTCGCCCCCGTGAGCCGCCATACCTCTGTGCGAATTCTACTCGCCATCGCAGCCGCTAAGCACCTACCAATACGGCAGATCGACGTCAAGAAAGCGTTCTTATATGCGTTGGTCCATGAAACCATCTTTGTGGAGCAGCCGCGCACCTACGAGGAAGGAGACCCCAGGGTCTGTCAGCTGAAGAAATCTCTTTACGGGATCAAGCAGGCGCCGCAAATCTGGCAACAGCACCTGCACAACATAGTCATCGAGATCGGCTTCAGACAGCTGTCGCACGACCCAGGAATGTACCGCCTCCACTTCAACGGCGACTACATCCTCCTAACAGTCTACGTCAACGACCTGCTGTACACTGGCACAAGCAACGAGCTCATGAACCAGTTTGAGCGTAACCTGGCGCAGCGCGTTGACATCACCATTAACCAGAAGGTCACACAGTTCCTGGGGCTAAACATCACCTACGCGCCAGAAGCAATTCATCTGTCAGCTTCCAAGAAGCAATTCATCTGTCAGCTTCCAAATACGCAGAGCAGTTGGGAGAACGCTTCAGAATTTTGCCCGCACCCTTCTCAACCCCTTACCGCACACCCAACACCAACTACAAACCGAACAACAAACCTCTGTCGCCCGCAGATCTCCAACTGTATCCGCAGCAACTGGGGTGCCTGCTGTTCGCCTCTGTCACCTGCCGACCCAACCTTTCATATATCGCCAGCCAACTGGCACAGTACTCTCGCAAGCCAGTAGCAATGAACCAGCTGGATCTGGAGCGCGCCCTACAGTACTTTGTCTCCACGCTTGACATCGGGCTCTCCTACTCCACGCTGACAACAAACGTCCTTCAACCTGACCAGCTACATGGACGCAGATCCCGCCGCTGATTCTGCCAATCGACGGTCACGAACCGGCTTCGTCTTCCGCCTGGAGCCAACGGGCCCAATCTTTTAGAACTCGCAGAAGCAGAAGCTGGTTGCCCTGTCATCAGCTGAAGCAGAGTAAATCGCCGCGACAGCTGCAATGACTTTACCTGCAAGAGATGCTGCAGGAGGCGAAAATTCCAACCTCGCCCACCTTTCGCCTTCAATGCGACAACCAGAGCCCCATCAAGATCGCGAACAAGCCGGGATTCGTCAGCCGAACGAAGCATATCGCACTTCAATGCTTCTTCGTCAAGGACGAAATTGAACAAGGCCATGTTGGCCTCACGTACTGTCTCACCACCGAAATGGCAGCTGACTTCCTATCCAAGCGACTGCCACGCCAGCAGTACCAGCACTGCTCCAACCTCATCGGAGTAGTCAAGCGAGTTAGCCTCCGACACGCCCAAGAGATATGAAACTTTATGTGAATACATTCCTGTACGCTATAGGAGCCGACTCTACCGAGTACGAAGTCGAGGAGTCATAAAAAACGAAGCGACACCAGCAACCGTCAGATCAAGAACGATGCAGGCAGAAACATTTGAAATGAAAATTGCGGGAAGAGGTTTGAAACGGGTTTGTTACGAATAGTGGAAAATGAATGAATTACTGTGCACTCCTTACCGCATCAATCGAAGCACGCACTACCGAGGCTGAAGGCGAAAAGGCGGAAGTAACACGAAGGGACGTACAATTACGAAACGATCTGGACCGTCGGGCAGACGGCATCAGGCAACAGTAGTGGCGAGGATTCTGCCCGAACGGTTTCGTAACTGTCTGGAGTCGCACGGTTGGATTTCGCTGTAATAAGGGAATGTACCCCTTAGAGTACATGGCTAGCTAGGTCGTTTCGTTTTGTATTTGCATGTTTTAATCATCTCAAGCATTTTACATTCACTCTGCTATTGAGATCAAGGGCCCACCACCACTACTGAGACGTGCGCGAACCTTCCTTAGGTGATCCTAGGGACGATCACTTGCTGATCGCAGCAGGGTGCACGCGCCGCACGGTTTGAATTCGCTGTAATAAGGGAATGTACCCCTTAGAGTACATGGCTAGTCTAGGTCTTTTCGCATTCCTCTGTATTTCTATATAAACTCAATGTGTGCGTTCTTTTATTATCTCAGTAATATACATTCACTCTGATCTGAGGTCAACACTTCCGCTGCAACACTACCTGCGATCAACCCTGAGCCGATCCCTGACTAAATCCTGTTTAGGATTGTATCACCCTTTACTTAGCCTATGGAGGTGTGTCAAAGTATATTTGTATAGATTTAGATGTGCTGTAGTGGGGTGCATCTTACGGGGTACATAAACTCTCCATACATTCTTATTGTACCCCCCCCTCCTTACCCTAATCCATCATGCTCTCTACCTACCTAAGTAGCATAGTGTCAAAGAACTTCCGCTGTCTTTAAACGCTTGGCACCTTATCTTGTCCACGAGATTCTTAGGTTACTTCAACTTAAAGCATCTAGGAAATAGGATGGCCTCGATGAGAGTAACCTAATGTTTTGGAGGAAATTGAAGGAATTTTTTATGAATAAATGTGCTTATAAAAAAAATTAAAGGAAGAGTTAAAGCTATCTAAGTGGAGATGACAAACAAGGTAAATAATACGGGTTGATAAATTGTAGACCCCTGAGTTCCATAACACCTAAATGAAAGTGAGCAATTGATGTGTAAATATTTCACTGCAGATTTGGCAGGACATTGCAACATGGACACGTGTAATAAGCATCAGACAGAACGCCACGCGGTCCCTCTCCTGCCCACTACTTTGTTCAAGGCGTATTTATCCGGGATGTTCAGTTCTGTCAAACAACATTTTGATTTCAGCTTGTGTCGATCTAATTCACCCACACCTGGTTGTCAGTCTGTGCTTTAGAGTGCAGGAGTCACCTTCATACTGCAAGCACCTCGATATTCTGGGTTCGGAACAGCACCTCATAAAACCCGTCCATCCCCACCCCTTGGATTCACACACAACAAAAAGGCCACATTGTGTTGCTTGGTGATTCACACAAACCAGTCATGGCTGCAGTCTCTTCATTTCGCGTCGCCGCATGCTTGCGGCCACCGTCCACCGCGGTCGCACCGTCTACTTTGTCATCTGCTAAGTCCGCGTCGTTCGGCTGTGCGTCGTCGCTCTGCTCATGCACCCCGCCCGCAGCCTCCCGCGCGGCCAAGGGAAGGCGAGCCGTCGTGACTCCTCGTGCTGACCTGGACAGTGAAACGGTGAGCCTCCCTTGCATCCGTGCATTTGACGGAAATTCAGAAATAACGTTCTCTTCAATAATTGTTCCTCTCGCTGCGTCGCATATATCGAAGCTCTGGACAGAGGTTGTAATCCGAACGATGCACCTTCGTGAACCTGCGAGTTTACTCGTCTCGCTGTACCTCGAAGCTACCTTGCAAGCGCTTAATCAATCCAACCTTTGACGCACTTTCCCAACCTGAGGTTGCATGAACAACCTGGGTCTCTGGCAAAAAAAATAACTGTTGAAAGGGTTGACTTGACGCATTTTGTATTATTTTCCCATCGTTCCAACCGCCCGTGTTGGTTGGGGTGGCAGCTCGTGGGGGTCGGCGTGGGGCTGGCGGGAATCGCGGTGGGCATCGGCATTCCCGTTTTCTACGAAATCGCCGTCAAGGGATCGGTGAGTCTTCTAGGGGCCGGCAAGCTGTCAAGCCAGGTGTCAGTAAGCCGCGAAGACGTCGGTGAGCCGTCAAGTGAGTCGGCAGGTCGTCTTCTCGTCCATCTTTGTTCGCTTCGCACTGATTGTTCGTCCGCCTTCTCCCTCGTGCCAGTTCTCCCTATCGTCCCAAATCTGTTCTTACTGCCGTCGCCCGTTTGGCAACGCATTCGCGCACTGTCTCTGCCGCGCTGTGCGCCTCCTCCTAGCGCCCTCATGTGCCTATGCGCCTCATGCCGTTGTGCGTGCATGCCGTTGTGCGCGCATGCCGTTGTGCGCGCATGTGCTCATGCGCCCACGCTGCTTCTCTGACCCTGCCGTTTGCTCTTCTGCAGGAGAAGCGGGAGAACGACCAGCCGTGCTTCCCCTGCAAAGGCACCGGCGCTCGTAAGTCTTTTTTCCCCCAAACAGTTTTCTCAACGACCAGTAGAATGCCTTCGCGCTCAGAGTACAGGGGGGGAAATAAGCAGGGCGATGCGATTGTCAACACCTGTGCGAGTCACGTGAAACAAAAACTTATGCATTTTAATGCGGCAACGGGTTCTTGACTGTCGTACCAGCGTGGGTGGTAGCGTCCTCTCTAGCCTGCTGCGTGCATGGTGTGATGCAACTGCGCCGCCCCCCCCTCCCTGCCACCCTTCCCGGCCATCCATTCATATACGAACGTATCGTTCAATGCATGCCATTGACATGCAGGGTCTGCAGCGCAGCATGGCCATACCTCGCAACGCACATCGCATGATGCATCTGCCGTTTCCCCCTTTCTCCCTTTCTCCCGTTCTCCTTTCCCATCCCCGCCCTCCCTCCCCCTATCGCAACATGGCAGAGTCGTGCCGGTTCTGCCAGGGCACGGGGGTGGTGGTGGTGGAGCTGGGCGGGGGCGAGAGGGAGGAGTCGGAGTGCATCAACTGCACCGGCAAGGGCGCCATCACCTGCACCACCTGCCAGGGCACCGGCGTGCAGCCCAGATACCTCGACCGCAGGTGAGGGGGGAAGGGGGGAGGGGAGTGTTTGAAGAGCAGGTGAGGGGCAAGGGTGCGCACCCCAAAAACCTCGACTGCAGGTGAAGGGGAACGAGGGGGTATAAGCACGTGCAGCCCAGATACCTGGACTGCAGGTGATGAGGGAAGTGGGGAGAATGGGATATATGGACTGCGTGTGAGGGGGAATATGGGAGAGGGGAGAGATGAGGTTGAAGGTGAAGGACAGGGGTATTGAGCTTGAGCACCTGGACCGCAGGTAAGGGAGGAAGTAATGAAGCGTGAGGGGGAGTGGTAGGCCTGGGTTCACCAACATAAACATAGCATATGGGCATGGAACGTGTACATGCACAACCAGCCAATTGCGTATGGTATGCTAAATCAAGCGCATGGCAGTTGGCGCATCAAAGTCAGTTTGCCCTTCTCGTTGTTATTGCCCTTTTTTGTTCAATACAGGGAGTTCAAGGATGACGACTAAGCCCAAGATTTTGCTTTTGAAGAGACCCAGCTTTTGCTTTGCTGTATGTTTCAGATGTATAACTTTGGGATTATCCAGAAATGTGAGATACCAATTTTGAGTACAATTGGCTAGTGTCTACATGTTTAGTGGAACTCTGTAGAAAGGTGTACAACTTCTTGAGTTGCCACCAATCGGTAAAAAAATTGCGACCCGCGGGTTCGCTGACGTTCTAGTGAAGCGACACCAAATTCGAACCATCACCTTGGGAACTCCAGCCAGAAAGGGATGAGGAGGATGGCACTAGTTCCCCGAGCAGATGAGTTGAATTTCATGGCATTTCTATGGTGATGGATCGGCCTGAATCCATAAGCCGTTGCTGAGCCAGCGACAAACCAGAATCGTCTGACAGAGACACCATGGAAACCGTAATTTTATCGCTTACGTAGGCTTCACTATTTGGAGCTTCGTGTATAGCCTGCAGGCGCAGGGCTTGCTGGTTTCTCCTCCTGTAGGCAATTCATTCCCGCTTAGGATAGTAATCCGGCTCTCATCATACCAGTAGCTTCTTTTGCTTTCTCTAGCACGTCAAACAATTTCACGATCTGAAGAATGAGAGTTTCGTAGTCTTATAAGCTTCTGATACTGACATGAATAACACCCTCATATCAGCGATGTACCAAGCATAAGCATATCTTCCACAGGAACCTGTTTAAGTCAGGTATCCAGATCTTGTCCTCATGGCGGTTATGCCTGAGGATGAAGCGTCCGACCTGTTCGGAACCCTTAGTCTAGAAGGAAGAGGAGATGGAGAAACAGAATCAGGGTTGTTTTCGAGCCTACCATCCAGAATGGTAGCTCTGGCTTGCACGTGTGTGGCTATACTGATCTCATTTCGCCACATGATGATGCATCTGCGGTACTACACAGAGCCTACTCACCAAAGATACATTATAAGAATAATCTTCATGGTCCCTGTAAGACCTTTCTCTGACCAGCTTGCGGGAGGTTGAATGTTGAGGGTTTTCAACAATCGGACAAGATCTGAAACGCGTGTTGCTTACAGGTGTATGCTGCCATGTCGTATGGAGCTCTGGTGGCCAGTGACTATGCCATGTACTTCAAGACTGTCCGTGACGTGTAAGAAACGGATCTCAGTCCCTACTTTAAATCAAAAGCGATTTCGTGCTGCAGCAGGCAACAGCATCATGCTTTCCACCTTGCAACTGGGAACTTCCGCACTCCCATCCCTCTCATCATTGTTTTTCCCTTTCGATTGGGCTCTAACATTAGTTAACCACCAATAATTACGATAACATATCTTCAATCGTCATATACAGGTATGAAGCGTGGGTCATCTACAACTTCCTGTCTCTCTGCCTGGCATGGGTGGGAGGACCAGGCGCCGTGGCCATCAGCCTCACAGGGCGCGTTCTCAAGCCGTCAACGCTGCTCTGCACGTGCTGGCTCCCACCCATACCGCTGGATGGGTTAGCATGATATGAAGAAGCACAGAAGATATGAACGGGGACACTGAAACGTCCCACTCTGAAGGCATTGAGTACACATGGCCAAATTCTCCAACTCTGACCTGCAATCCATGATAAATGTTCACTTGTTTAAGCAAGTACCGCATGAGTAGCACGTGCCTTCGTTTGAACTGTGCCATTCGTTGGTTACGGAAGTCATCAAGCTAATAGCAACCCGTGGTTCCATCGATTTCTCCCACTTCCTCCATATACCATCCCCTCCCCATTCTCCCCCTCCTCTCGCTCCTGCATGCACAGGCACTTCATCCGCCACTGCAAGCGCGGCTGCCTGCAGTTTGTCTTCATCAAGCCGCTCCTCGCAGCGCTCTGCCTCGCCCTCTACAGCACTGGCCACTACGAGGAGGGCGTGTTTGCTGCCAGCAACGGGTACCCCTATGTGACGTGTGTGTACATGGTGTCGTACTCCCTCGCCGTGTACGCGCTGCTCTTCTTCTACTTCGGATGCCACGACCTGCTGCGCTCCTTCAACCCCATCCCCAAGTTCATCATGATCAAGCTCGTCGTCCTCCTCACCTACTGGCAGGTAACCCCAACTGCAGCAACCTCTGTGACACTGGGCAGGTGAATCGGCAGGGAAAGATTTGACCAGCCCAGAACTTCGTTCATGCATCACCTGTCAGCTGTAGCTCATCCACCGTCACACCATCGTGTTCACTTCTCTTGGAGCTCTTTCCTGTGCTTGTTCTCCCTATGCTGCTCATACCTCTACTCTCCTCCCACACTCCCCTCTCCCCCTCCCCACTCCACCTCTCACCTCCCCACTCTCCCCTCCCCCCAGGGCAAAGTGGTGTATGTAGCGGGCCACCTGGGTTTGGTGCGCTCTTCCAGCGATGCAGCAGACCTGCAGAGTCTGTTACTGCTGTGAGATGGCGCTTTCTTTCTCCTCTCATCTCCCACCATATCCCTTCCTCCCACCAGAGCACAGTGGTGTTTGTAGCGGGCCATCTGGGTCTGGTGCGCTCTGAAGACGATGCAGCAGACCTGCAGTCTCTGCTGCTGTTCTGCGAGATGGCCCTTGCTGCAGGGGGCTTTGCATGGGCCTTCCCCGTCACGCCCTTCGCTGCTGCCAGCGTGGGAGGTGGTGGGGGGGGGATAGTGGAGGAGGTGGGGGGGTTCTTTCAGAGGCTGAGACACGCGGCAGCTGTGGGGGATGTGGTGGACGACACTGTTCACCAGGTGAGGCTCGTTGCTCCCCACCACTTGCGTGCTCCGTGCGCCACCTTTGCTTGGGGCATGCGCTTGCCAAGTCTTGCCACTGCTTCTTGCCACCATGACTGCGTCTCCTCTCCTCTTCCTGCCCCCCCCCCCCCCCCCCCCCCCCCCCCCCTCTTCCCGCATTTCAACTGGTCTATTTTCACCTCACCCCACCAACGTCTCCCAGTTATCCCCAACATACCATGACTATGTGCTCTACAGCGATGGCTCCACACAGGCCAAGCACTTCCGCACTCGCACGTTCGTGCCCATGGGTATGTGATGGCATGGGTATGTGCTGGCATGGGTATGCGCTGGCATGGGGTATGTGCCGGCATGGGTATGTGATGGCATGGGTATGTGTTGGGATGGGCATGTGTTGGCATGGGTATGTCATGACATGGGTATGTGCTGGTATGGGTATGTGCTGGCTGGCATGGGTATGTGTTGGCATGCGTATGTGAATGCAGGTGGATATGTAAAAGGGTATGTGATGGGTTGTGATGCTATTTGCATGTGATGGCATAACGTTATGAAAGCGAGGCTGTGATGTACACATCCTCCATGTCATCTGCCCATCCATAATTGAGTGTGCTATGCCATGGACATGGGATGGCCAACTTGATGCATGCCTCAGAGCCTTTACATGCCACACCTCCCAATCAAACCCAACCCCTGCCCTCTCCTTTCACGGTTCACCCCCCCACCCCACTTCCCCCTTCCCTTCTGCTCCCTCCCTTTTTTTTTTAGCCTCCTTGCCTTACCCTTCTATGGGGGCTCACCAGTGCCCTCTCTTGCACTACTCAAACTCACCTCCCTTTCCCCCTACCTCCTCCCCCCCACTTGGCTCATCCCGCCCTCACAGGCAGGGAGATGGAGGCATACCGCAAGGACGGCAAGATCAACTCCATCCAGTCACCCGACTACATCCTCGCCCCGCCTCCTCCCCTCCACCCCTTCCCCTGCAAGCCCTGCGCCACCACCACCACAGCCACTGGCATCACCATTACCAGCAGCACAGCCGGCATGGCAGCTGACACTGCAACGCACATGCAGGCATTTGACTCGCTAAAGACTGCTCCAGGAGACCCGTTTAGAGAAGTCACCAACAGTGTTGGATCCAGTGGAGCAGTAGCCACAGCAGCGACAGTAACGACAATAGCAACAGCACCTCCGAGCAACATGGTTGCTCAGTTACCATCTAACACAGCACTGCTAGACTTCCTGTCTGGGAGTGGGTCGGGGGCTGATGGCATGGATGCATGCCAGGAAGAAGCACAGCCCGGATTGCTTTACAGGGCCAGTATCCCCTGTGGCAACGACCAGAGCACCACTCTCTTCACCTCTCCCAGCGACCCCTCACGCAGCACACAGACCAACCGTGGGAGCAGCTACAGCAGCAGCTATGGGGACATGCAGGGTGTGACTCGTGCAGGGGAGTTGTGTGGTGAGAGCAGCAGGTGGGGTCGGGAAGGAGGGAGAAGAGCAGGGCTGTTTGACAAGCTGACTGATGAGAACGTGTATGGTAGCGCTGCTGATGGTGGTGCGGGTGTGAGTGGTGTGAGCAGGAGAGCTAGCAGGAGTGGGAAGAACGAGGCAGAGAGGAGGGAGAGTAGGAGTGGGAGTAGGAGCGACGGGAGGAGTGGGAGTGTGCACCGGCATTCGAGTGCCAGCAGCAGGAGCAGCGAGGGAGGCAGTGAGAGAGCATCCCTGTACAGCCACCACCGCAACTCAGGCCAAGCGGGTGGGAGCGGAGGCAAGGGGAGGAGAGGCGATACGGGCAGCGAAGGAGCAAGTGGGAAGGAGAATGTGACGGATAAGGAGAAGGAGAAGGGGAGGAGGGCGGGGGTGTGGAGTGCACGTGGGCTAGTGAAGGTATTAACAAGGGGGTCCATGGACCTGGGAGGGCTGGTGGTGGACGAGGAAGACCTCATGGAGGAGGGTGATGCCAGGCGGGATCTAGAGGGAGTTGTGCAGCGGTGAGGGGGATAGTGTGTGGTGGTTGGTTGAAGTGAAGGTGCTTACAAATGGGTTCATGAACCTGGGGGGGGATGGTGGTAGATGAGGATGACCTCAAAGAGAAAGGGGATGCGAGGCGAGAGCTGGAAGGCGTGGTGCAGCGGTGAGGGGGAGAAGATGGGATGGAATGATGGAAGGAGGTTTGTGGATGGGGGGCAGGGAAGCACGATAGGCCAAGACTGGTGCCAGGTGGCGCAGTTCAAGTGCTGCATGTGGGTGGGTTGTGAGTGCAGTGAAGTCACGAGATTGCAATGGTGGATGCTGTGTGTGGCTTGCTTGGTAATGCTTGTTGTAACCTACTGAATTTGATCGCATCGACCGCTTCAAAATTGATGTACAGTATGAAAGTTCGTAACAGAAGATGGGACAAAAAAGAAAGGTCGCACCTAACCTAGAATGGGGGCTGGGCTGGTGGCATGTAATGAACATCTCACTTAGCATGCCAATCCCCACCTCACTTGACTGCTAGCTGTTATTGCTGCCAGCCGTCACTGCTGCTGACTGGCTGCTCTAGCTGCCTTGAGCTGCAGCGCACGTTGCTTCCACGACGCCACTTGTTGACGAGCAGCAGCCTGCTTATAACGAGGACAAAGACACAGAAACATAGAATGCAGTTAATGCATGTCCTGTCACAACCGGACACACCTGAACACACTTCTGTACTGCCTGCGTTCTATACATGCCACTCCAACAGCCTTCAACACACCTGCACTCTGCACTGCCTGCATTCAACACACTTCCACACATGCCACACCAACAGCCCTCAAACACACCTGTTGCTGCCCATTGCACACCGAAACCACCCCACCCTCCGTCCTTCCTGCTCCTGCTGCCTCCCCAGCCAACCCCCCTTCCAATGGCGGCGTGCCAGCTGGCACACCAGCATCCTCATCCTGCACTGCTTGCGCGTGTGGCTGGACTGTGTCAAAAGCAGCATTGCGTGTGCTTTCACCAGCAGGGCGTGTGTCGACCACAAGCCCCACGATGACAGGAACACTCTCCTCGTCATCCTCTTCCTCCACTCCCAATGCTGCCGCCACTGCTGCTGTGAACGCATCAGGGGCAGCGGCGCCAGCAGCACTACTGCTGCTCCCGCCCTTCCTTCCAGACAGGGAAAACTTGCTTTCCACTGCTGCTGCACACCCACCACCTGAGCTTGCTGCTCCTGTTTGCTGCTCTTCCTTCTCCCTGTGCTGCTTCTCCTTCTCCTTCTCCTTCTCATTCCTTTCATCCTTACCTCGACCTCCCTCCCTCCCCTCCCTCCTGTCTCTCGACCCCTCTCGCAACCAATCCTGTCCATCTCCCCTTCCTTCGCCACGCCTGCGATCCCTCCTCTCATCCCTCTCCATGTCCCGCCATCCATCCCTTCGGTTCTCGCTCCTCCTTTCCGCCCCTCTCTCCCCTGCTCTCTCCTCCCGCCCCTGGTCACTTGGCTGGCGGGTTTTGTCAGGACGTTGCCCATCTTTCCTGCTACCTTCTGACGCCTTGCTGGAATGTCCACGTGGCAGCTTCTCACTGGCTGCAGTCGGTGGTGCTCCAAAGATTGCATTTTCATGTGCTTCCTGCGTGGCAGCGCCACGGTTCTACACAGTCACACCACGCACCCATCAACAAACATGAAACAGAAAGACAGTGCAAACTAGCGGAGTGAAAAACGGTCACCTAAAAAACGAGGAATGATGGCAACATTTGCAGAACAGTTTTCGGCACATAAAATTCCACAGTTTTTTTGGGTAAAACAGATAGGTGACGAGGAGCAGCAGTGGATTAAAGGCTCAGAGGCCCAACAGTCGTGCTTGGCACCATGCACAGAAATATGGAAGAGATAGAAGTACAAAAGAAACAATAGTGTCGGAATAAGAAGTTTAGGTTGCTCATGGTCGAGTGCCTCCTGCCGTAGCTACAATTACTTGGGATGCACGAACAAGCAGCAAACACACCGTGCAAACGAGGAGCACACACACACATGGGTCCCACCCAGGGACGATCATCACACATGGGGACGTACTGAGAAGGAAGAGAAGACGAAAGAAAATTTGATTTGATCCAGATGAGCAAGATCGTGTGCACCTCCCAGTGCATCTGCACGTGATGGTAGGTGGGAGGGGCATGATCGGCAGTGGACGTGATGGTGGGTGGGATGGGCGTGATCGGCAGTGCACGTGATGGTGGGTGGGATGGGCGTGATCGGCAGTGCACGTGATGGGATGGGCATGATCGGCAGTGCACTTGATGGGATGGGCATGATCGGCAGTGCACTTGATGGGATGGGCATGACGGGCAGTGCACGGTTCGTGACAACAACTGTGAGAGACCAGCTCAACTCATGCAAGCATGAAGGTTGTTGCATGCATGGTTATGCAATATGCACCACATGTCTCTAAACAACTCATCGTCAGCACAAAAACGAGAAAACACCCTTGGAGATACACTACCGAGAATACAAATTTGAAATTATATAATTGCAAACCGTATGATTGCACCGCACTGCACTTATAGGCACCATGCTTTTGAGGAGCCTCAAAATCAGAACCCCAGACACCATGATAAGTCATCACATCACCGCACCCACCGCACCACACTGCACCCATCGAAACCTAAACCCACCAGCAGCCCTGGCATGCCAGCATTTAGCTTGCTCCTCAAAAGCTTCCTTAAACATCAGATACACCACCGCTCACCAGCACTGGCCATCCCAGCCGTCGGATCTGCATCATCCACGTCAGCATCTGCATCCCTCTCCTCTTCCAGTGGGGCGGCAGAATCGAATTCAAACCGCTCCCACTCGCCGCCCAGCCCTGTCGCTTTGTCTGTTGCTGCCTCCTTGGCGGCTGTTGGTGCGGAGGAGGTAAGAAGGAGAGTGTTTGGTTAGAGGCAATTGGGAATGAGAGTGTTTGGCTAGAGGCAATTAAGAATGAGAGCGTTTGGTTAGAGGCAGATGGGAGGAGGACACGAGAAGGGAGAGCAAGTGAACGAGGAAAAGGGGAAAACAAAAGCAGGGAGCAGGGAGGGAGGCAAAAGAAACGGATAATTTTGCATTTAACGAGACATGCCCTCCTCACTGCTCCACTCACCGCCCCCCCCACCGCCCCCCTCACCACCCCCCTCACCGCCCCCCTCACCGCCCCCCTCACCACCCCCCTCACCGCCCCCCTCACTGCCCAATCACCAACCCACTCACCTGCGCGTTGGAACTGTTGTGCCATTCTCTCCTTGAGCTGCTGTGCGCGCACCTGGTCAGGGGAAAGGAAGGAAGCGGGTGAGATGGAGGACGGCAGACGGGAAGGGGGGACATGGGAGGGAGGCGGACGGGAAAAGAGCAAATGAGTTTCGTGCTGCCTGCTCTGAGGGGTGCGTGCCTCTCGCGGTGAATTTTACAGACCCAGGGCATCACTTGAGTACCCACAGCACATAGCCGAAAGAAACAATGTCAAGAAAAAAAACAAAAGGCTTCCATGTTGTGTTCACATATCACATAAACCACCTGCCACCCCCACCCCCACCCCCTCCCCCTCCCCCACCCAACCGCTCCCCCCTTCCTTTTTCCTTTTTCCCCCACCCTTCGAGTCACCTTGGGATCCATTTTAGCCATTCCTTCCTTGCTCTTACGCTCCCCCCTCCTGCTCTCCTCTCTCCTCTTCTCGCTGCTGCTGCTCCTGGCCCTCCTCCCACCTCTGCCCCTGCTCTCCCTGCTCCTGCTTCTCCTCCCTCTATCTCCACTGCTGCTCCTACTCCTTCCCCCTCTCTCCCTAATCCTGTCCCTCCTCTCCCTGCTCCTACTCCTGCTCTTCCTCTCCTTTCTTTTGCTCCTGCTCCTCCTCTCGCTGCTCCTATTCCTGCCTCTCTCCCTGCTCCTGCTTCTGCCCCTCCTCTCCCTGCTTCTGCTCCTGCTGCGCCTTTTCCTCACCCTCTCCCTGCTCCTGCTGCTGCTGCTGCTGCTCCTGCTTCTCCTCCTCCTCCTCTCCCTGCTCCTGCTCCTGCTTCTGCTCCTGCTGCTGCTCCGCCTTCTCGTTACCCTCTCCCTACTCCTGCTTCGCTCCTTCCGCCTCTCCACGTCCTTCCGCTCCGCGCTCCTCCCCTCATCTCCTCCCCTATCCGCCCGCCTGCCCGCGTTTCCCCCATCGCTTCCGCCCCTCCGCAGCTTATCGCGCACGCTCGCCACGCGCGCTTCCGCCAGACCCGCCTGTAGCTTCCGCTCGAACGACTCCGCAAATGTCTCCGCGATTGGCGCCGCGCCGCCTCCCGGTGACTTCTGGTTCGGCGGTTCCAGATTCTCCCGCTCGAACGATGCGGCGCCGCCTTTTGCGGCCACGAACGTCAACCCCGCACCGCCTTTGGTCCAAACCGCGCCGCCGTCGCCGCCATCGGCGCTGGCGTCAGCGGCTGAGCTGGAGTCGAAGCCGAGGCCTTGCTTGAATCGCGCCGCGTTGGACCCGCGCCGCACGAGATCCTGATAGTACGCCGCCGCTTTCTCCTCCTCCATAGCGCCGCCCCGCGCTGCCCCTCTCTGCACCCGGCTTAGAGGACTCGAAAGCCCGACTTCAGCAGCATAGTGGAAGGTAGCATCCCTGCTTCCAATCTTCGTTCAAAATTGCAGTAGTGTCTCGTTGGAATGTTGGGAAAGGACAGCTCGGCTGGTGAAGGGAATCCAGCAGCTTCAAGCTATGAGTGCACGGGTTTACAAAAGAACTGAACTGCAAGTTGGGAAGCTACAGATCCTACTGAAGACTACCGAATGTAATACAAACGAGGCTTATATAGGCAGTATCAAGCTAGGCGAGGAACACGGGGTAACGAGGCTGGGGAAATTGGCGAAATATGCGGTGGCGATTCGGAAGTGGTTCGGGATACACTTGCTACACGCCTACAGTAAGATATTATAATTTATCTACATATTTCTTGAAGGCTTTGTAATGTTTTGTAGAAGAGTCTTTAATCTTGTATGACTCCCCCAACCGCTTTGACCGCGTGTTACATATTCCACTTTTTGGTGGCCGTCGGCCGGTCGAGGCAACCGAGCGACGATCGAGGCAACAAACAAGGTTCACCGTGCATTACCTAGATGGATCTTAAATGTAACGCATAAAACCTAAGTATTTCCAAGCTCCAAATTGGCCGGTCGAGGCAACAGCACAGGCTAACGAGTTAGCAACACGCTCTAGAACCCCCCAACAGGCACAGCGGGAACGAATGTACGGATTCGAGTTCACACACGCGCTGTAGAGATTCGTCCTCGCGGTTTGTAACGAGGACAAACCCCCCACTTCCCGCTCCAAGGTAAATCCAGATGGAAATTTCGTCACACCAATGTATTTCTGCCTTCTCATTTTCCGCTTGCTTTGCTATTGACGGATATTCCTCATCCCTGACGCGCCGTGATTCCGTTCTCGACGCCGCTAGACGCCCCGCGATAATCAGCACACTCGCATCGCCGCCATTCGACCATCCGCGCCCGTTCCTCCGCTGTGACGTGACGCCCGCAGCCCACCCGCTCACTTACAACACCCGCCCACCTGTCCACTCCGCCCTCTCGCCCTCTCCGCCCTTCCCCGCTGCACCCGCCATGTCCGCGGCCGGCGCGGAGGAGCTTCCGCCATGCGTGCTGCTGCGCAACTGCACCATTGTGCAGGCGGGCGGCGCGGGGGTCGTTGCTGACGTGGACGTGCGCGCGGCGCAGCACGTGCTGGTTCAGGGCAAGCGAATCGCGTTCGTCGGCGACGTGCTGCCGTCCGACCTGCTCGCGTCGTTGACGGCGTCGCGACCGCCCGTGGTGAGCCCCCCTCCCTGCACGCGCCTGCTACTGGTGCAGCCCCAGTGGGAGTGCCTCCGAGGCAATTCAGGTGAGTCACCTGCACGGTGATTCCTCCATGCACCCTTCCCCTCCCTCCCGCCCGCCCCTCCCCATGCGCCCTTGCCCTGGCCCTCCTCAGGCGGCTTTCCTGACCCCCCTTGTGCCGTGCCTCCTCAGCCGCCCCACGCCGCCACTTCTGCCGCACCTCCCTCCCTGCCGCGCCTGCGCCGCACGCGCGCCTGCCAGCGTTGCAGCCCCAGCGGCTGCGCCTCACATGCCCTCTCGCTTCTTCCCCCCATGCACGCCTCTCCTCCTTCCGCTCCTTCCACCCATGCGCCCTTTTCCCCTGGGCTGCCAGGAGATCGACCTGGCGGGGCGCTACCTCCTCCCTGGGCTGTGCGATGCGCACATGCACGTAACAGCGGCGGCCTGCGCGGATCTGCACGCACTGGCGGCGCTGCCCGTGTCGCTGGTGGCGTGCCGCGCTGCCAGGGGGCTGCAGGCCATGCTCATGCGGGGCTTCACCACCGTGCGCGATGCTGGGGGGTGCGACCAGGGGCTGGCTCAGGTGAAAACAACAGAGACTCAGTGTATTTGCTCTCCCTCTCTTCCTCTTCCTCCCTCCTCCACCTTTTCTTGTGTTGCCTTCCTCCCTCACTGCCTTCCTCCCCTCTACCTCTCCCTCCATTTCTCCTCTCTCTCCCTCCCCTCCCTCCCTCATCCCCGCCGTGCAGCCATGCCGCGGTGCATCTATGCGCCCGTTCCTTCTCAGCCCCGCCACCCTCCGTCCCCCCCAACACCAGGCAGTGGAGGAGGGCACAGTGATTGGACCACGTATCCTCATATCAGGCCACGCCCTCTCCCAGACGGGAGGCCACGGGGACATGCGCAAGCCCTCCCACGATACCCTCCCTGTCGCCGCTCCCTCCTCCTTCTCCCTCTGCGCCTGCTCCTCTGCTGCTTCCGCCGTGGGCGGCCTGGGCATCGGCCGAGTCTGCGACGGCGAGGCTGAGGTTCGGCGGGCGGTTCGGGAGGAGCTTCGGCGGGGGGCGCGGCAGATCAAGGTGATGGCGTCAGGCGGCGTATCGTCACCGTCGGATCGCGTGGAGAGCCTGCAATTCTCGGAGGGGGAGATGCGGGCGGCGGTGGAGGAGGCGGAGGCGCAGGGGACTTATGTGATGGCGCATGCTTACGCGGCTCGTGCGATTAAGAGGGCAGTGGAGTGTGGTGTGCGCAGCATTGAGCATGGCAATGTGAGTGTGGATAGGCGACAGCAGCAGTGGGGGATGCATACAGTCTATGCAAATCCCACGTCCTATGCTCTGCACACCCCTGCTCTGCACACCCCTGCTCTGCACGTGACATGGGATATGCTAAGCCGTCTCCCACATGCTCCCTCTCACCCGCACACCCATTCACTGCATGACATATCTCTCACCCGCACACCCATTCACTGCATGACATATCTGTCGTCCGCACACCCATTCACTGCATGCCATATCTCTCGCCCGCACACCCATTCACTGCATGCCATATCTCTCGCCCGCACACCCATTCACTGCACGACATCTCTCGCCCGCACACCCATTCACTGCACGACATCTCTCGCCCGCACACCCATTCACTGCACGACATCTCTCGCCCGCACACCCATTCACTGCACGACATCTCTCGCCCGCACATCACCCTCCCTCCCCCACCCCCCCTCCCCCGCCTTGCTTTCACGGCAGATGCTGGACGAGGAAGGAGCAGAGCTGATGCTGCAGAGAGGAAGCTTCCTGGTGCCCACGCTGGTGACGTACGAGCGTATCAAGCAGGCGGGGCAGCAGAGCGGCATGGACGGCAGCATCGTTGCCAAGGTAGGGTGTTAGTATAAAGGCCACTTAAAAGTCACCAAGGTCACTGCACGTGGTGCATGAGGCATGGTCACTGCCGGTCTTTGAACAGAATGCAGATCTCCACACTGCTCTTCTCCCGCATGCTCATTGCTCGTACCTCCCACCTCACCGCCTCTCGCCACCTTCGTTCCACTGAATCGTCTGTCTGAAGCAGGTGCAGGACCTGCTAGAGAGGGGGCTTCAAGCTGTGGCACTGGCCGAAAAAAAGGGAGTGCCGATAGTCTTTGGCTCGGACCTGCTGGGTCCCATGCAGTCCCACCAGCTGCAGGAGTTTGCCATCCGCAGCAAAGTGCAATCACCGGCGTCTGTTCTTCGGTCGGCTACAACTGCTGCTGCAAGACTCTTTGGAATGGAAGGAGAGATTGGGTCTGTGGCAGTTGGCGCGCTTGCGGATTTGATCGTGTTGGATGGGAATCCGTTGGACGGCATAAGCGTATTGACTGATCCTAATAACCTTAAGTTGATCATGAAGGAAGGGAGCGTTTTTAAAAGGGATATATAATAACAGAGGCTTTCCAGTTTTGCAGCTATTTTCATGTATTTCTTGTGAAATTCTCAGCTTTGTTGGCCTAAAATATAGCGTAACTACAGCTTCTTTTTGCCATTCAAAGCGAAAGGCTTGCCGAAATTCCATGTCGTCAGTTACCAGTTTCGGTGTCAGCGTCCTCCTGTCGGCGTCCATCGTGAGCCCCACCCAGAAGTCAGTTCCTGTGTTCAAGCGACGTGCCTGTCCACGTCATCCGTTTGTGCATCGTGGTCACGTTTGTTCAATGTTTCACTCGAGGCGCGCAATCTTGAGGAACACCTGGACGCGGCTCGAAAACGGGCACGACCATTGGTTGTGGAGACCTTACCCCTAACGCGACACACCCCCTGAGTCCTGACCCACCATGTCCGCCTCTGGGCTTCTGGGAGTTGTGATTTGGAATCGACGTTCCCTATGCCGTCCTTTTGAAGACAGGTGAGACATGCACATCGTGCCACAGACAAGAGGTCCAGCAGATAGAGCGTCCAGCCTCCAGTAGCATAATTTCACAATCAGACCGCCACGTCCCGTCCGCCACGTCCTCGCGTATATTCTTCGTATTGAGCATTTCAGGAAGTAAAGACTGCAGTATCAGCACCCGCGATGAAACCGATAAGCAGTCGATGAACTGCCTCACTTTCTTTTAACCTAGGAGCTTCTGCTACTCTGATCGACCTGCAGTTGTTGGCGAGCCTCGGATGGAATACCGCCATAAGGAAAACCACTTAAACTCTTGTAGCGCCACTGACTGCTTCTCACCGACTGATATTCAACCAAGGATATCAATAGAGAACTGTGCGACCATGAGGTAGCATCGTTTCCGTTGTTCGACAATATAGGTCCAGACTTGTCGTTCTTCCAGTCTGGCGAGGTCCCAGTTGCGTATTACTAGTACTAGTTGCAATGCCTGCGCTAGTCGGGCACAGCGCGTGCACGGCTAGACGAAACGGGCATCTTGTCGCAGCTTCAGTAGCCTTTCGCAGACCGTCGCGAAACGATTGTAGAGCGTCGCACGTTGCGCTTCTGCCAAGCCATCTCGTTTGCCTTGTGGTGCTGCTAATAAGCGGCACGACGGCGCGCGCAGCACTAACGACCGTACTCGCCGTCACCAACGAGCCTGGCGCGCAACAAGAGCCAGTAGACACACGGACACAATCGGCCCCAAGCACAGGCACAGGCCCAGAACGGGAACACGCAGCGAAAGAACGCCTGGAGCTGGATGATTCATTACAAGTCAACCCCGACTCGATAGTAGCCGCAATTTATCCATCCCCGCCACAGCCCAGCAACGAGGATGATCATCAGCAGAGCGCAAGCAACCGCCGAGAATCGTTGGAACGTTCGCGCTATCACCAGCACAGACACACGCCTTCTGTTTCGTTCGCTTCGTTATCCACCAAGCGATCTTTCAACCAAGCGGCCCTTTACATAGTGTACCTTAACTCCGCCCCCTCGGTTCTGACGTACCGCGGCGGCATAGCTGGTTTAAGAGCCACTGCTACCAGTATAGAGACCGACGATGACGATAACGATGACGGTGACAGCGACGGCGGCGGTGACAGGGGTGAAGGGGGTGGCGCAGAGGACGGAAGCGGTGGCACTTCGGGGGGTAACGGCGGAAGCAGCGACCCGGGGATGGCGGAGATAAAGTCTGTCGGGGGAGACGGGTGGGGGGTGGCGAAGCGGGCGTTTCAGCAAGGAGTTGCGAAAATAAAAACAACGGCGGCGGCGGCGGCGGCGGCGGCTGCGGCGATAAACCTGGATGGCCCTTCGCGGCGCCGCCCTGACGTGCACTCCGCGGCGGTGCAGGAATTCTCGCAGTTCCTCAAAGACTCGCACCGGAGATTAATCTCCTCTGCCGGCCTCCCCGCGTCGCGGATCGTGCACAGTTACCGCTACCTCATGAACGCGTTCTCGGCGCGATTGACGGCGGCGGAAGCGGAGAGTTTGAAGAAGCAGGCGTGGGTGGATCGGGTGGAGCGCAGCCAGATGGTGCGCGCGGCGACGACGCACACGCCCGACTTCCTGAACCTGCCCAACAAAGTCTGGCCGCAGCTGGGCGGGGAGAGCCGCGCGGGGGAAAATGTGATTGTAGGCCTCATTGACTCGGGTATTTGGCCGGAGCACCCGGCCTTTTCGGACAAGGTGAACTTTCCTTCCCCGCACACTCTTTTTGTCCATTTCTGCTCCACCTCGGCCCAACCTTAGTTCTCTATTTTCTCTTTCGCGGACGTTAGCTTTCCCAGTCATCGTTTTTGCTCCAATTGCATGCGCCCACCTGTCCGCGCGCAGACCAGCACCCCGTACGGCCCGCCGCCCAGCCGGTGGCGCGGGGGGTGCAACACGACGGCGGACTTTCCGCGGTGCTCACAGAAGATAATTGGCGCGCAGTGGTTCGTGGCGGGGCTGAAGGCGGAGGGCGGGCGCATTGACCCGAGCATCGAGTTCCTGTCGCCCCGCGACGCTAACAGCCACGGCAGCTGGTGCGCTGGGTGAGTAAAAAATCAATTCGGGTCAACGCAAGTCAATGCAGATCCACGAAACTCAAGACAGTGGCAAAGATGCATAATGCCGTGCAACACAGCTTCCCGCATTCCAACCATCGCCCCTCTTCATCATTGTCCCTCGCCCAACCTCCCCTTCCCACCCTCCCCGCGCAGAGCGGCTGCGGGCAACGCCGTGCGCGTCAAGTCGGGTGCGCAGCCCTTGGGTACGGCGCGCGGAATGGCCCCGCGCGCGCGTTTGGCAATATACAAGGCGCTGTGGTTCGACGGGCAGGTGGCGATGGGCAGCGAGGCTGACGTGTACAAGGCCGTGGATCGCGCCGTGGCGGACGGCGTGGATCTGCTCTCCATGTCCGTCGCGTTCAGCGACGAGAACTACTTCAAACACCTCCCGCTCATGCGCGCCGCGCAGGTAAAGTCCCGCCAAAGCTCCTTTATGCTCTGATTCGCGCCCTGCAGATGAAGTCAGTTTCCGTGGATAAAACTACATTCGGCAATCCCAAGAGCCCGCCAGCCGCGCACGCGCGGTCCCTGCACCACCTTCCGTTCCCTCACTCCCCTGCTCCCTCCCGCTCCCTCTCGTGCCCTCTTTCCTTACCCTCCCTCCTGACTGTGTGAGCTCACGGCAGGCGGGCGTGCTGCCGGTGCTGGTGGCCGGCAATCTCAAGGCCCCTCCGGACAGCGATGACGGACAGTACCGCACCATCCGCAACGCGTCGCCCTACTACCTCACCGTCGCCGCTAGGTGCGCCGCTTTCCCCGCTGTGGGTGTGGTGTGGTGCGGAATGGTGTGGTGTGGTGCGGTGTGGTGTGGTGTGGTGCGGTATGGTGTGGTGTGGTGAGGGGTGGTGTGATGAGGTGTGGTGTGGTTACTGCAGTTTCCCCTCCACTCGCCTGCCGCCCCCTCCCTCGCCGCGCTGTGTTTGAGCTGTGGTGTCCCTCGCCGCCCTCTCCTCCCGCGCTGTGGTGACTATCAGCGTGAAAGTCCGACCCCACAAGTCTTTCCCTCGCCTATCCCCACTCCCTCCCTCCTCCCTCGCGTAAGCTTTCTTTTTTCACTCGCCTAACCACCTACCTCCCTCCCACCTTTCTCTCGCCCACCATTTCCTCCCGAATGTCACCTCCCCTACCCTCCTCCGCCCACGCGCAGCACGACGGACAGAGCGTGGCCGCCGCAAGCCACGCTGAGGCTGCAGGACGGCGCAGCGACCACCGCCTCCGCCAGGACCGCGGGCGGGCGGAGAACCGCCACCGCGGATGACGACGGCGGCGGGGGAGTGAGCGCGGAGGCGGTGACGGTGGTGGGGGTGACGTACCACGCGGGCACGGCGCACACCGTGAACCTCTCGCTCGTTGACGGCGCTGCTGCCGCCGCCAGCAACGTGCCCCTCATGCAGGTGCGTGGCTGGGGTGATTGGAGCAGACAAGAAAGAGAGACTGGGGTGACGGGACTCGCATGGAGAGAGAGTCTGGCGCCTTAGCTACTAGTATGAGTCTGTTGTGAACAGGACGCCCTTAGCTAAATCTATAGGTATGACGACTCTATGACTAACTCGTGCCCCCCCTGACTCCCCGCATGCCACTCCCCTCTGCCCTCTACCCTCCTTTCCCCAGGCGCGCATGTGTCTGCCCGGCGCACTCTCCCCCGCGCGCGTGGCGGGGCGGATGGTCCTCTGCGAGGCGGGGGGGACGACGCCCGAGGCCAAGGCGGGGGAGGTGCGGAGGGCGGGCGGACGCGCGATAGTGATCGCGTCGGCGTCCGCCACGGCGGGCAGCGTGGGGGAGGGGTACGCGCTCGACCTGCCCTCTCTGGTCGTCAACCGCTCCATGTCGCAGGCGCTGCGAAGCTTCCTCAACAGCTCTAGCAGGTGGGTGTGAGCGGTGCTAGGCGGTTAGGTGCGGCTCGTATAGTGGAAGGATTCCTTGCCAGTTGGCTGCGAAGCTTCCTCAACAGCTCCAGCAGGTGGGTGTGAGGGGCGGGTGCAGTTGGTTGGGTGCGCTATGTCCGTGTTTCCTTCTCTTTCCCTTCCCTCATTCCCACCTTCAACCACCTCTCACCACCATTCACTTCGCCCACTCTAACCTCCTTTCCCCACTCATCTCTTTCCTCGCTCTCGCTGCGATCCAACCAGGTCACGCCAGCCATTCCGCACTCTCCTTGCCCGCCCTCACATTACTCCCTCCTTGTCTCCTATCCCCTGTCCCCACCCCTTACCCGCATCCTTCCCACCCTGCCTTCTCAACTTCCCCCCCACCAGTCCGCGCGCGACCCTCTCCTCGCTCTCACTGCAGTCCAACCAGGTCGCGCCAGTCATGGCGCCCTTCTCCTCCACGGGCCCCATCGTCGACCCCTCTCTCCCCCCCGGCCGCTCCCCCGACGGCTTCACCAACGACATCTTAAAGCCCGACATCACTGGCCCGGGAGTCAACCTCCTCGGCCCCATGGCCTCTGGAAAACACGGGGAAGCCGCATACCAGCTGCTCTCAGGAACCTCAATGGCTGTTCCGCATCTGGTGGGGATTGCGGCGCTGATAATGCAAAAGTACCCGAGCTGGAGCCCTGCCGCGGTGAAATCCGCGATCATGACGACGGGCACGGTGTTCAACAATCGCAACGAGCCCATTCGGACAGCGTCGGGGCACCGAGCGACGCCGTGGAATTTCGGGTCAGGGCACGTGGTGGCGGTGAGGGCCATGGACCCGGGGCTGGTGTACAACGTGGGCGCCAAGGGCTACATGGCGTTCCTCTTTGGGATCAATGCCAACACGGCGAGCAAAGTCTTCCAGCACCAGCAGGTGCCGCAGAAGGGGGGCGGACGGACGGTGATCAAGGCCTATGATCTGAACCTGCCGAACATCTGCGTGTCGAATCTGGTGAAGCAAGTCACGGTGGTTCGGCGCGTGACGAACGTGGCTCGGCAGGCGTCAAAGTACAGGGCGAGGGTGGTGGCGCCTAAGAATGTCCGCGTGGTGGTGGCGCCGGGAGCGTTTACGATAGCGCCGGGCGCGTCGCAGGTGTTTTCGGTGACGTTCACAGTGGTGCAGGCGACAAGGGCGTTCTCGTTTGGCAGCCTCACGTGGGTGGACGGCACACACCGAGTGCGGTCGGTGCTGGCCGTGCAGCCCGTTCAGGCGTGAGTGGGTGGGAACACTTGTGGGACCTTTGGGTCAGCTCAAGTCTCCTCGTGGGTGGATGGCACACACTGTGCGTGTCTGCTGGCCGTGCAGGCTGTTCAGGCTCGAGTGGGTGGGAACACTTGTTGGGGGGATTGAGGCAGTGCGGTTGATTCGGGACGTCACGGTGAGATCCGTGCGGCAGTGCAGCCTGTTCAGGCATGAGCGGGAGCAACTGTGAGGGGGATTCGTGCAGTGAGGCTGGTTCAGCAGACGCAGCTGATTGAAGCAGAGCCGCGGGTTTCGCCATAGCTAGTGCAGCAAAAGGGGAGCGTGATGTATTTTGGAGTGCTGGAGAGGTGAGCAAGCGTGAAGGTGCTCCGATGATTGGCAATTTGGCAGGCTCAAGCGGTTTTGGTGGCAGCTGCGGGTGCGACTCCCTTTTGCTGTGGGAGATTGCTTGAAGCCAAGCTTGTGCGGTGGGAAGCATGGAGTGGGGGTGGGCGGAGGCGAAACTCAGCGAAGTCAAGGCGGGCGAACTTGAAGCGCAGAGGACAGGCGAAGCAAGTTTGCGAGGTTTGAAGAAATGGTTTGGTTTGATGACGAGGACGCTCTCGAGTTACAAGCTGAACCTTGGCGCGCTCAAGCTGGTTGACTGTTTTGACCGAGCGCGCGAAGGACCTTCGTGGGGGTAAGCGCGCGGATTGCCTTGCCCTCCTTGGAGGGGAGGGGAGACAGCAAAGAATACAGGCGGCGCTGGTTGGTGTACTCCGTGTTGCGCCGCTGAACATTGACGGGCACAAGTCGCGCTGCGGCTCAACTCGCCGTCTTCACATTTAATTCGTTTCGATACAGTTCAGGAAGCTAACTAGTGAAGGTTGCACAAATTTTCACCGCTACAGCACGTAGCGAGTAGTGGTTAGGTAATAATTAATTGATGTTGGTTGCTAACCATGTCATTTATGAAACAACGTTCGGTCACACAAGCAAACGCAACATCTTATCGGTTTCACTCATTTAACGAGAAATAATTTACATTCAGAGCAACAAGACTGCAATGGAAACAAGGAACATACTTATATTGAACTACAAAACACAGAGCTATACAACTCAACCCACATGTGAGCCTAGTGTTTTATACACCCACCCAAAGGTGGACATTAGAAAGCATACCGGCCGGTACCTCCTAAAGCTGTAATATACACCAAACTTCCCTACAGACAGGGCAGTGAGCTGCTCCAAATGACACCCTTCAAAAGTCTTGACCAGCCACACTTACCGTAAACCCCCGTATATAGGACCCCCTCCAGTTGTAGACCCCCGGGTCTATAATACGGAGGGGGGTACTCTATTCGAGTCTATCCGAGTTATACCCCCCTAAATGGCTCCTGACATTATAAGACCCCCCACATCCTAGAGAAGTGTGTATTTTCAGCGAATGCAATGGAAAATGGTCCTATTCCATGTTCAGGTACAGACAACCATCTTTTAGATGGCAGCCAGCCGAGCACAGTAAGGGGGGAAGAAACTGGAGGAGGAAGTGAAGTCAGCCCTCAAAAACAAGGACGTGCCAGACGACAGTACGGGAGTCTGAAGCTCCCGCCCTATAGGATCGCACGAAGCGTGCATGGGGTGTGCAGGTCGAGGCGACACTGCGCGCCGGGCCCATCAAACGGTGCCCTTCTCGCTTATGTCAACACCAAGTGATGTTTGTGCCCAATGGGAGGAGGCTTTTAGATAGGGTACGTGATGATGTGGGTTTGGCCCAGGAAGAGACCAGTTCGAGTATATTTGGGAGGTGCTAAAAACGGAGCAATTCCAATTCACTTCTTTGAGCTCCAAAACAGTAGACTTATAGAAGTCAATTGAAAAGACCCGGGTCTTATAAAATATGTACCATTTAATTATACCCCCCAACTTTTTAAGGCCAGATTATCATAATACCCTAGGGTCTTATATACGGGGGTTTACGGTACCTCAACGGCAGCAGCAGTGGCAAACGCAGCACCTCCGCTACAAGTCTGCAACACCATCCTCCACCTCCCTCCCACTCCAACCAGTACTCCCCCTCCCCTCCCCCTCCGCCCTGCCCCGCACCCCTCCTCCCTCGTCCCCCTGCCCCTCCAACTCGCCGCCATCGCGGGTACGGCCGGGGGGAGCAGGGGAGACATGGAGGTGGGTCATGAGGCGATGGAGGTCCACAGCAGTCGTCCAGTACTCGGGGTGCTTGCCACTCCACCGCGTCACCCTCCCGTGCCGCCCCGTGCCGCCCCACACCAGTGCAAGCGGCCGCCACTCGCCGCCCTCAGCCTCACTCTCTGCTGCATCGCCGCCTGGCGCTCTAGCTTCCGCCCTGCTTCCTACTCCTCCTCTCCGATCTTCCAGCTCTGCTGTGTGCTCTCCAGCTGCAACCTCTGCTCCTGCCACTGCTCCCTCTCCCTCCTCTCCATCCCTCACTAGCTGTCCCTCTCCTCTGCTGCTCACCCCACCAGCCCCCTCTCCTCCCCTCCTGCTGCCCTCTCCCTCAGCACCACCACTAGCAGACTCCTGCCCCCTGCTTCCACCACTCACTGCTGCACCCCCCTCTCCCTCGCCGTCCCCACTCCTGCCCCCACGCGAGCCTGACCCGCCTACCGTTCCTCTGCCGTGTGCCTCCTCCCTGTGCTCACACCCGTCCTCCTGTGCAGGATACTGGCCCCTCTCTTCCACTCCTGCTGCTCCTTCTGCCGCTTCAGCTCCTGCTCCTGCTGCTCCTGCTGATTCTGTTACGTCTGTTGATCTTAATGCTCCTGTTGCTCCTGCTGCTGCTCCTCCTTCTAGCCCCGCTGCTGCTGAACTTGCTCCCCTGCCCTGGGGTAGCATGCTTCCACTACCTGCCGCCTCTCCCCTTCTCCGCTCCCCTACTCGCGCACTCCCCTGTCCTGCTCCTCCCCTTTCGTCCTCCCCCGTCCGCCTGTGCAGCAGGTACACTGTGCTGCCTGCATCGCCCTCCAGGTCGAATGGGGCCTGGCGGACGGGAGGAGGGGCGAGGGGAGGGGCGGAACAGGGCGAGAATGGGTGGTGAGAAGAGGGAGCAGTGGAGGGAGCAGAGGGGGGAGCAGCGGAAGGAGAAAAAGGAGCGAGCAGCGGAATGAGCAGCGGTAGGAGAAGAGGAATGAGCAGAGGAAGGAGCAGAGGAAGGAGCAGAGGAAGGAGCAGAGGAAGGAGCAGAGGAAGGAGCAGAGGAAGGAGCAGAGGAAGGAGCAGAGGAAGGAGGAGAGGAAGGAGCAGAGGAAGGAGGAGAGGAAGGAGGAGAGGAAGGAGCAGAGGAAGGAGCAGAGGAAGGCGCAGAGGAAGGCGCAGAGGAAGGAGCAGAGGGAGGGATCAGCGGAAGGAGCAGAGGAGGGAGCAGAGGGAGGAGAGGAGGGAGGGAGCAGAGGGTGGAGGGGAGGAGAGGCGAAGGCGCGCTTGCTGTCAACATAGTACTCTGTGGAGGAGGGAGAGGAGGAGAGCGCACCTCAGTGGAGCTGCGGATGAGGAGGTCAGACGCAAAGGCGCGCTTGCTGTCCACGTAGTACTCCACGGCGTACGCCATCACTGTGCCGCGCGTGAGCCCCGAACTGCGCCCCACCTTTGCTACCTGTGTAGGAGAGGTGGGGGAGGCAGCAGCAGGGGTGAAGGGGGGAAGAAGATGCGGAAGAAGAAGGGTATGGGGCAAGGGGGAGATCGAAGGGAGGGCGAGCGGAGACAGTGGCTTGAAGGCGCGCTTGCAGTGGACACCTGCCACTCCACTCCACTCCACGGCATATACCCCATCACCGTGCCACGCGTGATGCCTGAGCTACGTGATGCCCCACCTTCGTCACCTGCCATGGATGGGGGGAGGCGAGAGGGAGGTAGGGGACAAGAGAATGCGGAATGGGACGGGGAGAACGGGGCGAGTGCATCACTGTGGGAGGATGAGCGGTAGCTGGTCCGAGAGGGCGATCAGTGGGCTCGATGGTGAATGTGTGCACCCGCCTTAGGCGACATGGGAAGCCCACTTGGGCGATATGGGAAGCCCACTTGGGCGACATGGGAAGCCCACTTGGGCGACATGGGAAGCCCACTTGGGCGACATGGGAAGCCCACTTGGGCGACATGGGAAGCCCACTTGGGCGACATGGGAAGCCCACTTGGGCGACATGGGAAGCCCACTTGGGCGACATGGGAAGCCCACTTGGGCGACATGGGAAGCCCACTTGGGCGACCAACGCCCACCTGCTGCGGGACGAGGGCCGTGACGGGCCGTGATCGTTCAATCATCCAGTCCAAGTTAAGGTTGAAAATACAAGAAAGGAAGGAAGAAAGAAAGAAGGAAAGAAAGAAGGAAAGAAAGAAAGAAAGAAAGAAAGAAAGAAAGAAAGGATTCAACCGAGTGGAGGACAAGCGCCCACCTGCTGCGAGACGAGGGCGGAGACGGGCCATGCGGGAAGGATCTGCAGCACCGCGCCCACTGTGCCAGGCGGCAGGCCGCGTGGATGCGCTGTGATGTGATGCGCTTGGATGGCCGATGTGAATGCCGCGAATGCCCCGTCCACACGCACCCTGATGTCTGTATGGGGGTGTAAGGACGGGCGGAGAAGGGGGGGTAAAGCTAAGCTGGTCTGGTCTGGGTTGTGCTGTGGTGTGGTGGCTGTGGATGGCCGGGGTGCAGGTGGCGAACTCACCGTCCACACGCACCCTGCTGTCTGCATGGGGGAAAGAGGGCAGGAAAAGGAGGGTGATCAGGGAAAGGAAAGGAAAGGCTGGGCTTCACTGTCTGGGATGGGATTGGGATGGGCTGTGCTGTGCTGTGCTATGCTGGGCTGGGCTGGGCTGGGCTGTGCTGTGCTGTGCTGTGCTGTGCTGTGCTGTGCTGTGCTGTGCTGTGCTGTGCTGTGCTGTGCTGTGCTGTGCTGTGCTGTGCTGTGCTGTGCTGTGCTGGGCTGGGCTGGGCTGGGCTGGGCTGGGCTGGGCTGGGCTGGGCTGGGCTGGGCTGGGCTGGGCTGGGCTGGGCTGGGCTGGGCTGGGCTGGGCTGGGCTGGGCTGGGCTGGGCTGGGCTGGGCTGGGCTGGGCTGGGCTGGGCTGGGCTGGGCTGGGCTGGGCTGGGCTGGGCTGGGCTGGGCTGGGCTGGGCTGGGCTGGGCTGGGCTGGGCTGGGCTGGGCTGGGCTGGGCTGGGCTGGGCTGGGCTGGGCTGGGCTGGGCTGGGCTGGGCTGGGCTGGGCTGGGCTGGGCTGGGCTGGGCTGGGCTGGGCTGGGCTGGGCTGGGCTGGGCTGGGCTGGGCTGGGCTGGGCTGGGCTGGGCTGGGCTGGGCTGGGCTGGGCTGGGCTGGGCTGGGCTGGGCTGGGCTGGGCTGGGCTGGGCTGGGCTGGGCTGGGCTGGGCTGGGCTGGGCTGGGCTGGGCTGGGCTGGGCTGGGCTGGGCTGGGCTGGGCTGGGCTGGGCTGCTGTGCTGGGCTGTGCTGGGCTGTGCTGTGCTGTGCTGTGCTGTGCTGTGCTGTGCTGTGCTGGGCTGGGCTGGGCTGGGCTGGGCTGGGCTGGGCTGGGCTGGGCTGGGCTGGGCTGTGCTGTGCTGTGCTGTGCTGTGCTGTGCTGTGCTGTGCTGTGCTGTGCTGTGCTGTGCTGTGCTGTGCTGTGCTGTGCTGTGCTGTGCTGTGCTGTGCTGTGCTGTGCTGTGCTGTGATGTGATGCGCATGGATGGTGGGGGTGAAGGGGGCAAACGCCCAGTCCGTGCGCACCCTGATGACTGCACGAAAGAGGGTGTGTGTGGGGAGGAGAGCAGTCGAAAGGGGTGTGAGCTGGTCTGCGCTCCGTGGCAGGCCGCGTGGGTGCGCTGTGATGTGGTGGGCGTGGATGGCCGATGCGAAGGCGGCAAACGCCCTGTCCACACGCACCCTGATGTCTGCCCTGCATGGGGGCCGGAGGGAAGAGGAGGACAGGAGAAGGGAGGGGCGTGGAGGAGGAAAGGGAACGGATGCCGTGCCAATGAGCCTGGTTCTCAGGGTGGGCTACGCTGACCTGAGATAAGCTGGCCTGGGCTCGCCTGGGCTGGTCTGGCCTGGCCTGGGCTGGGCTGGCTGTGGATGGCCGGGGTGCAGGTGGCAAACTGCCCCCCCACCTTTCCCCCCACGCCCCCCACCTTTCCCCCCATGCCCCCCACCTTTCCCCCCATGCCCCCCACCTTCCCCCCCATGCCCCCCACCTTACCCCCATGCCCCCCACCTTCCAACCATGCCCCCATCCTCCCCCCTTCCCCACTCCCCCCCCCCCTTCCTTCTTCCCCCCCCTCATGCACCTCACCTCCCTTGCCCAACCCCCATGCCCCCCCGTTTCCCCCCCATGCCGCCCCCACTGTTTCCCTACCCTCCTTCCCCCCCTGGTTTCCCCTCCCCAGCGCACCAGGCTGGTGGTTGATGTAAAACCCGAACCACTCCAGGTCGCTACCCAAAGCCACTTGTGAGTCAACTCAAAGGTCACCTCCCCCTTAACCCTCCCCCCCACACCCCCCCTCTCCCCCATTCGTCTCCCCCATTCGTCTCCCCCATTCAACTCCCCTCCCCAGCGCACCAGGCTGGTGGTTGATGTAAAACCCGAACCACTCCAGGTCGCTTCGGAAGGACACGACGCGCCGAACCTCCCCGATAGGCACGCCGGGGCCGAGGCTCGGGCAGTGCGGGTGGTAGAGGCAGCGCCCCTCCGACATCTCTGGAGAGGTGCCCGCCACGTGGCAGTTGGTGAGAAAGCCGAGCTGATGTGGCGCTGAGCTGTCGACGACGATGGGGCCCATGGTGACGAAAGTGTCATCGCATGCCACCTGGATAGAAGCAGGTGGATGATGAGAGGGGGGCGTGGCGAGGGGTGCGTGAGACAGAGGCAGGGGCGATGCGATGGGGTGGGTGGGTGGGGGAGAAGAGCAGAGAAACCCATGGTGACCAAAGTGTCGTCGCATGCCACCTGGCGGGCGCATTTTATATGGATGGTGAGGGCGGTGCGACAAGACAGCGGCAGGGGGGATGAGAGGCGATTAATGGGCGGGTGTGGTGGGGAGGAGCAGATGGGCGGGGCTCATGGTGACGAATGCGTCGTCGCGTCACACGTGCCATGGATAAAAGCAGGTGGATGATAGGTGGAGTGGACGCGCGCGGCACATGCAGGGGTGCGGCAGCGGCGGCACGTGCAAGGGCGAAATGGGGTGGGGGGGAGAGGAGCAGAGGGGGCGATGGTGACAAAGGTGCCATCGCAGGCCATCTGGACGGAACGGAAGCAAGTGCATGGGAGGAGGAGTGGCGGGTCGGGCACATGCAGGTGTGAAGGGGGAGCGTGGGATGGGAAGGGAGGAAACAGATGTGGATGGATGGACGACCATGACAAGGTGCCAGGTGATTGGGGTGCGGGCACGAAACAAGGCCACAAATTCAGGTTCCCCACCTGCTCGCCTTTTATAAGCCCTCCTCCTCACCTGTTCGCCTTTCAAGTAGGCCCGTGCAAAGTGACGAGTCGAGCAAAACTCGGACGAGAAATTTTTGCTACATTGCATGCTCGTTGCTCGCCGTTTTAGCCTAGCTTTTCAAAAACTCGGACGAGCATTTCTGAATGCTCGTCCGAGTCCGAGTAATGCTCGCTGTTGCTGCCCTGTAACTGCAAATCTGCCCCGGCATGAAACCCCAGCGAAGCCCAGGGTAGCCCAGGGAAGAACAGCGGAGTCCAGGGTAGCCCAGGGAAGAACAGCGGAGTCCAGGGTAGCCCAGGGAAGAACAGCGGAGTCCAGGGTAGCCCAGGGAAGAACAGCGGAGTCCAGGGTAGCCCAGGGAAGAACAGTGGAGTCCAGGGTAGCCCAGGGAAGAACAGCGGAGTCCAGGGTAGCCCAGGGAAGAACAGCGGAGTCCAGGGTAGCCCAGGGAAGAACAGCGGAGTCCAGGGTAGCCCAGGGAAGAACAGCGGAGTCCAGGGTAGCCCAGGGAAGAACAGCGGAGTCCAGGGTAGCCCAGGGAAGAACAGCGGAGTCCAGGGTAGCCCAGGGAAGAACAGCGGAGTCCAGGGTAGCCCAGGGAAGAACAGCGGAGTCCAGGGTAGCCCAGGGAAGAACAGCGGAGTCCAGGGTAGCCCAGGGAAGAACAGCGGAGTCCAGGGTAGCCCAGGGAAGAACAGCGGAGTCCAGGGTAGCCCAGGGAAGAACAGCGGAGTCCAGGGTAGCCCAGGGAAGAACAGCGGAGTCCAGGGTAGCCCAGGGAAGAACAGCGGAGTCCAGGGTAGCCCAGGGAAGAACAGCGGAGTCCAGGGTAGCCCAGGGAAGAACAGCGGAGTCCAGGGTAGCCCAGGGAAGAACAGCGGAGTCCAGGGTAGCCCAGGGAAGAACAGCGGAGTCCAGGGTAGCCCAGGGAAGAACAGCGGAGTCCAGGGTAGCCCAGGGAAGAACAGCGGAGTCCAGGGTAGCCCAGGGAAGAACAGCGGAGTCCAGGGTAGCCCAGGGAAGAACAGCGGAGTCCAGGGTAGCCCAGGGAAGAACAGCGGAGTCCAGGGTAGCCCAGGGAAGAACAGCGGAGTCCAGGGTAGCCCAGGGAAGAACAGCGGAGTCCAGGGTAGCCCAGGGAAGAACAGCGGAGTCCAGGGTAGCCCAGGGAAGAACAGCGGAGTCCAGGGTAGCCCAGGGAAGAACAGCGGAGTCCAGGGTAGCCCAGGGAAGAACAGCGGAGTCCAGGGTAGCCCAGGGAAGAACAGCGGAGTCCAGGGTAGCCCAGGGAAGAACAGCGGAGTCCAGGGTAGCCCAGGGAAGAACAGCGGAGTCCAGGGTAGCCCAGGGAAGAACAGCGGAGTCCAGGGTAGCCCAGGGAAGAACAGCGGAGTCCAGGGTAGCCCAGGGAAGAACAGCGGAGTCCAGGGTAGCCCAGGGAAGAACAGCGGAGTCCAGGGTAGCCCAGGGAAGAACAGCGGAGTCCAGGGTAGCCCAGGGAAGAACAGCGGAGTCCAGGGTAGCCCAGGGAAGAACAGCGGAGTCCAGGGTAGCCCAGGGAAGAACAGCGGAGTCCAGGGTAGCCCAGGGAAGAACAGCGGAGTCCAGGGTAGCCCAGGGAAGAACAGCGGAGTCCAGGGTAGCCCAGGGAAGAACAGCGGAGTCCAGGGTAGCCCAGGGAAGAACAGCGGAGTCCAGGGTAGCCCAGGGAAGAACAGCGGAGTCCAGGGTAGCCCAGGGAAGAACAGCGGAGTCCAGGGTAGCCCAGGGAAGAACAGCGGAGTCCAGGGTAGCCCAGGGAAGAACAGCGGAGTCCAGGGTAGCCCAGGGAAGAACAGCGGAGTCCAGGGTAGCCCAGGGAAGAACAGCGGAGTCCAGGGTAGCCCAGGGAAGAACAGCGGAGTCCAGGGTAGCCCAGGGAAGAACAGCGGAGTCCAGGGTAGCCCAGGGAAGAACAGCGGAGTCCAGGGTAGCCCAGGGAAGAACAGCGGAGTCCAGGGTAGCCCAGGGAAGAACAGCGGAGTCCAGGGTAGCCCAGGGAAGAACAGCGGAGTCCAGGGTAGCCTGGGGTCCCCGAGTACTCGGTGAGTACAGCAATGTCGCCGAGTAAAACTCGCGTCGGCTCGGGCGAGCCATTCCAACCAAAGAACAAACTCGTTACTCGCCCTTATACAAGTAACTTGGACGAGTCGAGGCGAGTAACTCGACCGACGCCCAGGTCTACTTTCAAGCCCCCTCCACCTGTTGGCTTTACAGCCTCCTTACCTGCGAGCCAGGCCGCAGCACAGCACTGCAGCCCTCACCTGCTCGCCTTAAAGCCCTCCTCACCTGCTGGCCTTAAAGCCCTCCTCACCTGCTGGCCTTAAAGCCCTCCTCACTTGCTCGCCTTAAATCCCTCCTCATCTGCTCGCCTTAAAGCCCTCCTCACCTGCTCGCCTTAAAGCCCTCCTCACCTGCTCGCCTTAAAGCCCTCCTCACCTGCTCGCCTTAAAGCCCTCCTCACCTACTCGCCTTAAAGCCCTCCTCACCTGCGAGCCTCCACAACTGCGAGCGGGGTCCCAGCACCACCCTGCAGCCTTCACCTGCTCCCCTGCTCGCCTTTGAGCTTCACCTGCTCCCCTGCTCACCTTTTAAGCTTCACCTGCTCGCCTTACAGCCATCCTCACCTGCTCGCCTTAAAGCCCGCCTCACCTGCTCGCCCTTAAAGCCCCCCTCACCTGGGAGCCGGGGCCCAGCACGGCACTGCAGCCGCGCAGGTCGTCCACGAGCTCGCTGCTCTCCTCCTCCGCCCTCGCCCTGTCCCTCGCTGGCTGGAGAGTGGCGGCAAGGGGATGCACGGAGAGAGTGGAAGGGAAAACGAGGACATGACTGCTGGCATGCTGTGCGTGCGTTGGCACGTGCTGCTCTCCTCCTCCGCCCTCGCCCTGTCCCTTGCCGGCTGCTGTGCGTGTGGCACGGGGGGCGAATCAAGAGTGGAGGAGCGGAGGAGGAAAGTGGGAAGAAAAATGACTCACGCGGTGGCTGCTGCGTTGCTGTGCCTCATCACTCACAAGCACACGATCGTGCAGTGGTGGGAAGGCAGGCAGCGCAGTGGAGAGGCAGAGCAAGGCAGCACAGGGCAGAGGCAGAGCAGAGCAGAGTAGGGCAGAGCAGGGCGAGCAGAGCAGAGCAGGGCAGGGCAGGGCAGGGCAGGGCAGGGCAGGGCAGGGCAGGGCAGGGCAGGGCAGGGCAGGGCAGGGCAGGGCAGGGCAGGGCAGGGCAGGGCAGGGCAGGGCAGGGCAGGGCAGGGCAGGGCAGGGCAGGGCAGAGCAGAGCAGAGCAGAGCAGAGCAGTGCAGAGCAGAGCAGAGCAGCATACCTGGCGGCCGGGCAGGCAGGCGAACTCGAGCACGTCCAGGTCGCACCACAGCGACCCCTCCCCCTCCAACCGCGCTGGCAGCAAGCGGTCCGGTGGCAGCCAATTAGGATGCACCTGAGGTGGGGGTGGAAGGGGAGGGGGAGTGGGGAGAGCGGGGGAAGAGGCGGAACAGGGGGGAGAGGGGGGAGAGGGGAGGGAGAGGGGCGAGAACAGCAGGGAGAGGGAAGGGAAGGGGAGGGAAAAGGGAGGATAAAGCAGAGCGTAAGGCCGTCGCGGGGGAGGATGGGGGAAAGAAGAGGACGGACGAGCAGCAGGATGAGAAAACACGAGGGATGATGGAACAGGCGGAACGAAAGTAGAGGGGAGGAGCAGGGGGGGGGGAGGGGATTAGGAGGGAGGAAGGGGGAGAAGGGGGGAGGAAGGGGGAGGAGCGGGAAAAAGGGAGGAAGAGGGAGGAAAAGCGGGGAGGAGAGAGGAGGGAGTACGGAGGAGGGAGGAGGGAGGACGGAGGAGGGAGGAAGAAAGAAGAGAAAAGAGAAAGATGGGGGAGGTGGGAGGACAGCGGGGGATGTGGGATGCGAGAGGGAGGAGGGAGGAGGGAGGAGGGAGGAGGGAGGAGGGAGGAGGGAGGAGGGAGGAGGGAGGAGGGAGGAGGGAGGAGGGAGGAGGGAGGAGGGAGGAGGGAGGAGGGAGGAGGGAGGAGGGAGGAGGGAGGAGGGAGGAGGGAGGAGGGAGGAGGGAGGAGGGAGGAGGGAGGAGGGAGGAGGGAGGAGGGAGGAGGGAGGAGGGAGGAGGGAGGAGGGAGGAGGGAGGAGGGAGGAGGGAGGAGGGAGGAGGGAGGAGGGAGGAGGGAGGAGGGAGGAGGGAGGAGGGAGGAGGGAGGAGGGAGGAGGGAGGAGGGAGGAGGGAGGAGGGAGGAGGGAGGAGGGAGGAGGGAGGAGGGAGGAGGGAGGAGGGAGGAGGGAGGAGGGAGGAGGGAGGAGGGAGGAGGGAGGAGGGAGGAGGGAGGAGGGAGGAGGAGGAGGGAGGAGGGAGGAGGGAGGAGGGAGGAGGGAGGAGGGAGGAGGGAGGAGGGAGGAGGGAGGAGGGAGGAGGAGGAGGAGGAGGGAGGAGGGAGGAGGGAGGAGGGAGGAGGGAGGAGGGAGAGGGAGTGGGAGGAAGAGAGAGGAGGAAGGCGAAAGATGGGGGAGGCGGGAGGAAAGCGAGGGATGTGGGAGGAGGAGGGGAGATGAGGACGCGGGAGGACGAGGGGCGAAGGGGGAGAAGAAGGGAGGAGGGGGAAGGAGGGGGGAAAAGGGAGAAGGGAGGCAACACGGGGAGGGAGGAAAAAGGGGGAGGACGAAGGAGGAGGGAGGAGGGAGGAAAAGGAGGGAGGACGGAGGAGTGGACGGGGGAGGAGGAAGGGAGGCGGAAGAGTGTTGGAAGGGTGCAGGAGGAGCAGGGGCGTGGACAAGGGGAGTGGGTAAGGAAGAGAAGGAAAGCAGCGGTGATGGAGAAAAAATGAAAACGACGGGGAGCGAAGGGGATGCAAAGCGAGAACGGGGGGCCGGCGGAAGATTAAGCATAGGAAGAGGAGGAGAGCACTGAGAGGAGGAGGCGAGCGAGGGGAGGCGGACGCACCTTGGAGAAGACGAAGGCGAGGATGGCGGGGCGGTCCGTGTACTGGCCGTTGCGGATCCGCACGCCCACGGCCGTCGCAAGAGTCCTCTCCCGCAGCCACTCGGAGCGGCTCGCGCGGATATCCAAGAGCTCCTGTCCGCCGCACGCGCAGGGGGACATGCGCAACGGTCACGGAGAAAAGGGCGCGCACAGGGAACGGTGGGTCGCGACGCGTAGCTAGTCATTTCAAAGGCGGAGCACTATTAAGATAGCTTTGATAGAATCAGCATCACTATCATGGTGCCTCTGCATCAAAGAGAATGAGCTTCGAGGGTGCGACACCGTTTCTGAGTCGAATCTGGTCCGTCAAACTCTAGTAGTTTGCGAAATGACCTCAGGTGTGCAGAAAAAACATAGATTTTGCCTGTAGGAAAAGTCCAACCTGCAGCACAGTTCAAATGAACAGGTTTCACCCACATCAGTGAATCAGTGTTCCTGGTAGCACTGGCAGGTGGAACTACCTGGATAGTCGTTGCTTGTCCACGCGTGCGCAGAGTAAGCTCTCTGCGAGAGAAATACGCTTGCCTGTCCTCCTCCGAACCTGGAACCAGCAAGAAGCCACGGCTTTAAAGAAAAATAAACTAGCAAATGCAACTGCAGCCCATGCCCGAATTTCTCGAAGGACTACCCAAGCTCAACCCGCGGAAACCGGAAAAGATTTGTCAAGCAGAGACCGGCTGAGATAGACAGACCTGGCTGACTTCTGCCGCCCATCACAGGCTTGTTCGAAGGTTCTCCCATTGATTCTTTCGCAAGACTACAGGTTGCGCGGAGAATCTTGAGGCTTGGCGGCAGTTTTGAGCAGCTAGATAAAGAAGGCCAAGTGCGTTCCTCGAAGACGAGATTCAGCACACAGAACACTTCAGCAGCACGGCACCGCCTCTTATCGCCGTCCCTTTTCCTTTCACCGCTCCTTTCACCGCTAGTACCGCGAAACCCCAGCTTCTGAGAGCGTGCATGCGCTTGCTGTCACGCCGCATCCAAAGATGGTGCTTCACGAATGAGGCAGTCATGCCGTCCATTCGTGTGTAGGACCTATGAGACGCCTCAAAAGTCATCTGTGTGGTATCCTGCCTCGCGAGAATCGCGTCGAGATCTAGAGGGTGGAAGTGGAAGAGTCGTCAATTTCTGTGAAGCGGAGACCATTCGGCTTCCTGTTTTGATGCATTCAGCACGAAACCCGAAAGGGCAGCGTGCATCATTTTTTGGACTGGCGGCGAATCTAATTTCGTCTCTCAGTTTCCCCGTTGCCAGTTCCTGGTACAAGTATGTGGCTCGCCACCCAAGTCGACATCCATATTCCATAACAATGCTGCCTTGCACCCCTAAAATTGAGTGATTTCACCACGTACGCTTTGCGATTGAACAATGAAATATGGCTGACCCTACACTCTGATATTTCAGAAGAGTCGCCCATAACCCCATTGCATCCCGGTAAGTTTCCTCGTTGGGTGAGTGCCTTGACGAAATTTGTTCGCGAGCAAGGGTTTCGGTTCGAAACCAGCCAGCAGGGCCAGAAAGCGACAGCTGGTTTCTGGGCTGGTCGTCGTCATTACTGCCTGTAGTACCTGTTCTCCGACAATTCCACACCGGGAAAATATCAAATTGAGGCCGATAAATAGCAGGGGGGTGACCAAATTAGGGCAGGGGCTCCCAAGTGGCTGGGCCGACAATCCGAACGAGATTTCGAGGAAATTAGGGTGCATTCCTGGCTCGTGTCAGACACGAAGTTGGAGGTTCGGAAGACACAAAGTGAGTCACTTCGGGTCTTCCGAACACGAGCCAAGAATGTACCATTACTAAAATCTTGACTTCATTGATTCAATGTTTTTTACATAGTTTATTATCGCCTCGCGTCGTATTCATCTGTGAGTATATTTCATCGTGTTTATATTTTGGAGACCAGAAATACATAATTGTTTTTTTCGAAAAATATACATAACTCTACCTGACCTAAATGTCATCTCCGCCGGAAATGTCATCTCTGCTCTGCGCACAGTCGCTGACCGTCACCTCGGACAAACCCCCTCCGCTGAACAGATCTTCTTCCCGATACAGTCACGGGTTGGACAGTCCCCCCCATGGAGCTTACTAGTAGGAGCTGCAGTCAAGACGCTGTGGAACAGCCGCTGTGACCACAGGTACCGCAACTCCTCCTCCTCGAGCTTCGAGATACTGCAGCTCATCTTAGCCCAGTTCCTCATCGCCTTCAAATTTTATATGTGGAGAGGCAAACGCCAATCGGCCAAGAAGCGTCAGCATATATCATCCAGCATCAAGCGAGCACAGAAACTCCGCTTCCTCATCTTCGACAGGACCGGTACACCCTCTATTCACCCCGACCTAAGATTCTCCTGGCTCTTGGGAAACCCGTTCCGACCACCATAGACGTCCATCGCATAGAGCGTCTCCCCAGGCAGCTGGCGGTTGTCCGCGAGGACAAGGAATAACGTGTGTTCCACGTGCTCCGCTGCGGATGCTGGCCACCTCGGTCAATATATAACCTTAACCTTAACCCAACTCCCCTCACCAACCAACGCCACTCAATCGTCGAAAGTTTATACATGCCAAAAGTATACTGAAGGGGTTGCCTCCCCGCACTAGCCCCAAGCATTCTCGCCATAAACTACTCTGAAAACTAGCTATTGGGGCAATAGTAGCCATAGCGATCAAGCTTGATCTGTCGCTTAGGGCATACGCCGTCCATACCATGGTTTAGGGTTTGCGTCGCCTCGTAAGACCTCGCCTCGTAGACTCGCCTCAACGCCCGTCGCGGCGTCACCTCTCGGCAAATCCGCAAACGGCGTCGCCTTGCCGCAAATACGCACGCGGCGTCGCCTCGCCGCAATTACGCAGCAGCGTCGCCACGCCGCAAATACGCACGCGGCGAGGCGATATGCCGCAGATCCGATCGCGGCGTCGCCTCGCCCCCAATCCGCCCGCATCGTCGCCTCGTCGCAACACGACGACTCCTCACGCCACCGCAATCACGCTGGCCGCGCCACGCGCTGCGCCAATATGCCCTTTTCGCGAGCCCGATTTCCCTTTACCGCCTCCCGATCTTCCTTTACCCCCTTCAAAGTTCCCGGTCTCCCCTTTTTGCCGCCCGAACACCTCCCCCCCTACCCCCTCCAACGGGTTCTTCCCTTCCCGCCTCCAGTTCGCCCCTTTCCACCGCCCGATCTCCCCTTTCTGCCCCCCGTTCTCCCCGTCGTGCCTCCCTTGCTCCCATTCCCGCCTCCCACTCTCCCCTTCCCGCCTCCCCATCTCCCCTTCCCGCCTCCCCATCTCCCCTTCCCGCGTCTCAATCTCCCCTTCCCGCGTCTCAATCTCCCCTTCCCGCGTCTCAATCTCCCCTTCCCGCGTCTCAATCTCCCCTTCCCGCGTCTCAATCTTCCCTTCCCGCGTCTCAATCTCCCCTTCCCGCCTCCCGTTCTCATTCAATAAATATGGGGCTACCATTTTCCCTTTCCCACTCTCATTGAAGGCGAACGTCTCCCACTCTCCCCATCCCTGCATCCCCCTCTCCCCATCCCTGCATCCCCCTCTCCCCATCCCTGCATCCCCCTCTCCCCATCCCTGCATCCCCCTCTCCCCATCCCTGCATCCCCCTCTCCCCATCCCTGCATCCCCCTCTCCCCATCCCTGCATCCCCCTCTCCCCATCCCTGCATCCCCCTCTCTCCATCCCTGCATCCACATCTCCGCCTCCCATTCTCCCATTCTCTCCCTTTCCTCCCTTCTCTCCCTCCCCTCCCTTTTCTCCCATCCATGGTCTCTTCCTGCAGTCCCTTCCGCCCCCTCCCTCCCTTGCCTCCCTTCCCTCACCTCCCTCCCTATCCGGGCCCTTCTCTCCCTTCCATCCCTTATCTCCCTTCCCTCCTTCCAGCCCTTCTCTCCTTTCCATCCCTTATCTCCCTTCCCTCCTTCCAGCCCTTCTCTCCCTTCCATCCCTTCTCTCCCTTCCCTCCTTCCATCCCTTATCTCCCTTCCCTCCCTTCTCCAGACTCCCTCTCTTCGCTCTCTTCCCTACCCTTGCAGCCTTCCCTCCCTTCCCTCTCCTACCTCCCCGCGATTTCCCTTCTCTCCCGTTCCGCCGTTCTCTCCCTTCCCTCCATTCTCTCCCTTCGCTCCCTTCCGTCCCTTCTCTCCCTTCCCTCCCGTCTCTCCCTTCCCTCCCTTCTCTCCCTTCCCTCCCTTCTTTCCCTTCCCTCCCTTCTCTCCCTTCCCTCCCTTCTCTCCCTTCCCTCCCTTCTCTCCTTTCTCTCCCTGCATCTCCCTTCCCTCCCTTTTCTCCCTTCCCTCCCTTCCCTCCCATCCCTCCCTTATCTCCCTTCCCCTCCTTCTCTCCCTTCCCTCTCTTCGCTCTCTTTCCTACCCTTGCAGCCTTCCCTCCCTTCCCTCTCTATCCTCCCCGCGATTTCCCTTCTCTCCCGTCCCGCCGTTCTCTCCCTTCCCTCCCTTCCCTCCCGTCTCTCCCTTCCCTCCCTTCTCTCCCTCCCTTCCCTCCCTTCTCTCCCATCCCTCCCGTCTCTCCCTTCCCTCCCTTCTCTCCCTTTCCTCCCTTCTCTCCTTTCAGTCCCTTCCCTCCCTTCTTTCCCTTCCCTCCCTTCTCTCCCTTACCTCCCTTCTCTCCCTTCCCTCCCTTCTCTCCTTTCTCTCCCTGCATCTCCCTTCCCTCCCTTCCCTCCCTTCCCTCCCTTCCCTCCCTTCCCTCCCTTCCCTCCCTTCCCTCCCTTCCCTCCCTTATCTCCCTTCCCTCCCCTCTTTCCCTTCCCTCCCTTCTCTCCCTTACCTCCCTTCTCTCCCTTCCCTCCCTTCTCTCCTTTCTCTCCCTGCATCTCCCTTCCCTCCCTTCCCTCCCTTCTCTCCCTTCCCTCCCGTCTCTCCCTTCCCTCCCTTCTCTCCCCCCCTTCCCTCCCTTCTCTCCCATCCCTCCCGTCTCTCCCTTCCCTCCCTTCTTTCCCTTACCTCCCTTCTCTCCCTTACCTCCCTTCTCTCCCTTACCTCCCTTCTCTCCCTTACCTCCCTTCTCTCCCTTACCTCCCTTCCTGCCCTCCCCCCTCTGCGTCTAGAAAAGGCCCTATCTCACCCCATCTACCAGCACCTCTCTGTCATGCCACCCTATCTCTTTGTCCCCCCTCCACATCTCCCCTTCATGCATCCCCGCAGGAGCTTCCCACCACCACAGCCTCATCCCCATCTTCCCATAACATGCACTCTCCACCCCACAGCTCACCACTTGCAACTCATCTGCCTTGACCTTCGCACGCAGTGCAGTTTCCTGCCCCTCATGGCGCCTCTCTCTCTTCCCTATACCCTCTCTTTGCCCCCAGCCATTCTGCCTTTCCATTGCTAACCTTCCTTTCTGTCGCCTATCGCCAACCCGTGGCGATCGCATGCCATTCACATCCATCCGCTGCCATTCTCTGCCGTACCCTTCTATCTCCTCCCATACCCTTACATAGGCCAGCCAAACTCACCCCTCCCCTGCCATACCTTGCCGCTCCTTGCCATACCCTGCCCTACAATTCCCTCTTTAGCAGAAGTGTACCATACCATTCCATACTCCAGCCATACCCATCCATCCCATACCATACCCATCCATTGTCTGCCATACCCTTCCATCCCGCTGCATACCCAGCCATACCCTCCCGTCCCGCTCCATACCCTGCCATACCCTCCCGTCCCGCTCCATACCCTGCCATACCCTCCCGTCCCGCTGCATACCCTGCCATACCCTTCCGTCCCGCTCCATACCCTGCCATACCCTTCCATACCCTGACAGGCCCTTCAATTTGCGCTCGCAATCCAGCCTGACCCTCAACACATTAGGTCCCCCCCTTTCCCTACCTGTCCTCTCATCCACCCCTGCAGGGGTGCCTTCCAATGCCTGCACACACCGCTGCTTTGTTTTGCCTACTCCCATCACAAAGTTCCCTACTCCTTTCTTATGTTCCCCGCCAGAAAACAATGATGTTTTTGTGGCGACGTGGGTGTCGACAACGATTGAGGCTAGGTTTCAGGATTGGTATTGAAGATGAGCAAAAAGAGCAGCGACATGGTGAAGGCAGGACTGAATCGTGCACGAGCATATGACTAGCAACGTGGTCGGTACGGACGGAGGAATCCAGGGTTGGGTGATTAGGGTTATGTATTTAGTCATACTGTTGTAAGTACTCCATTTATAAAACGTGGCAAAGTGTTTATAGCAAGATGGCCTTGAATGTACTGTAAGTCAGACACAGTGGGCGCAAACACCCAGTTGGGAGTGTTTGCATGTTTGATGTACTACAAACAGAACCTTGCAACTAGGGTTGGAGCTGCCGCACGTGCGGCTTGCTGCTGTTGCATGCCTGGCGTGGTGTGCAGCAGAGGAGAGCAATGCCGTGTGGGATGCTTGGTGAACCTGCCAGTGAGGGGAGTGCCATTGCTTGGTCAGAGGCGGTTATCACCTAGACCACCGCCACCATCCGAAGCAGCCCCATTTCCACCTCCACCTGCCCCCAGGCCAGCAGCAGCAGAAACGGATGACGAGTGGACTAGCAACCCTTCCAGTGCTGCCATGTGTGCCGCACAAAAGTCGGCAGGCGAAACCGAGCCAGCCATCTCTGCCGTGTCACGGGTCGTGCACGCAAGTTTGGCCGCTAGCAGCTGGGAGGGAGACACGGGGGGGGTTGGGTTGGGAGAATGGAATGGGGGGAAGTGTTGGGCTGAGAAAAGCCCTTAGGTTCTTTGCAGGACTAAACTCTGAGTAGGAATAATGTAATAGCGGAAGCGTTTAATGAGAAGTTTGTGAACCACCTTGCGCTGGTATGTGAGGGCAAAGTAGATTGATTAAAACAAAGAGATACAAGTTTTTATAAGAGTACAAGGAATACGAAGAGATACAGTTAATAACCGTTTTACTATTGCTGTTGCGGTTCGATACAGTGACGACTCGGGCAACTACTCAATAGCGAGTCAGTTGTTTGTCCTTACTGTCGCGCTGTACTTGTCAGGTCAAAGGTCGCTGACCTTTGACTTTCGCGTAACCTCCAGCAGTTGTTCAACCTCCGAGGGTTGACTCGCTAATGCTTTGATATGTTTCGCTTCGCTTCTGACTTGGTGTTTCGACACGACAGAGGCGCTAAATCAATTGTTTCCAACACTCCCCTTCGCTTCTGGAGTGTCGCTACTGGTGACGTGGCTTTGTCCGGTCAGCAGCATGCAGTACTCGAACTTCTGCTTCCCGAGCTTCTTGGTCAGGTAATCAGCTGCCATCTCGGACGTGGGACAGTAAGACAGCTTGAGTCTCCCCTTCTCGATCTCGTCCTTTACAAAGAAATATCGCAGGGCGATATGCTTCGTTCTGTTCGCGAATCCATTTTTGTTGGCTATGCGAATTGCCGACTGGTTGTCGTAGAACAAGGAGAAGCTGGGTAACTGAGCCAGCTTCGCTTCCTCCAGGAGTTCGCGAAGGTACAGTCCTTCCTTGGTGGCTGAGCAAAGTGCGATATATTCTGCTTCAGCTGAAGAGAGGGCAATTAACTCCTGCTTGCTCGACTGCCACGAGATGGGTCCGATAGGTTCGAGGCGATAGATGTAGCCGGTACGCGAGTGTCTGGTCCCGGAGTCGCCAGCGTGATCGGCGTCGACGTAGCCGATTAACTTAGGTGTCGAGGTTCCGTTCTTGTGATAAGTCAGGCCGATCGTCGGAGTGCTAACGAGGTAGTGAAGGGCGCGGTCAAGCTTCGCCATATGCTCTGCCTCGGGCCTTTTGAGGTAGGTGGCGAGTTGACTCGCAGAGTACGATAGATCCGGATGGCAGGTGACGGCCGCGAAAAGGAGGCACCCTAGCTTTCTCTGGTAGTCCCGTATGCCTGCGGGCTTGAGCAGAGCGGAACTTTCCTTGTGATTTCCTGCGTTGTAGCAGTAAGGCGTGGAGATGGTGATCGAGGTGAGTCCGAAGCGTTTGGCGATAGTGTCGGCATATTTCGCGGCGTTGAGGTAGATCGCGCCTTCTTCTTCCTGGATGTTGAGGCCGAGATACTGCGTGACGGTAGACAACACTGTAAGAGTGAGGTTCTGCTGCAGTTCTCCTTCGAACCAAGTAGTGACGCTGTCAGTCGAGCCGATGTAGAGCAGGTCGTCCACGTAGACGATCAGTAGGATGTAGTCGTCACCTTTCGAGAGCCGATACATGCCCTGGTCCTGTGGTAGCTGTCGGAATCCGATGCGGACGAGTCGAGCGTGTAGATACTGCTGGCACAGCCCTGGGGCCTGTTTAATACCGTACAGGGATTTCAGCAGCTGGCAGATTTGGTTAGGCTCTCCGTGGGAGCCGTGTGGAAGTTCGACGAAGATTTCGGCGTCAACAGGTCAGTAGAGGAATGCGTTGGCGACGTCAATTTGCCGCAGTTTCTTCTTCTTCATGGCGGCGATCACGAGGAGAATTCGTAGTGAGGTGTGTCGGCTGACCGGGGCGAATGTCTCGGTGAAGTCGCGTCCATGCTCTTGGTCGAAGCCGCGTACGACCCAGCGCGCTTTAAACTTGTCGATGGTGCCGTCTGCTTTTGTCTTCACACGGAAGACCCATTTTCCGGTGAGTATTGTCTTGTTTCGTGCCACGCCGATGGGAACGACTTTCCAGGTGTTCCGTTCTTCCAGTGCTTCCAGCTCCTTGTCCATGGCTTCGCGCCATTTTTCCTTATGCTCCCCCCCCCAGAGCCTGCTGAACTGTGGCAGGCTCCTTAGGAATCTCCGTGCCGTGGACCGCGGTGATGAGGCCGAGTATCTGGAGGCCACTCTGTGTGTAGCGGGGGAGTGTTGTGTCCTCGGGATAAGCTGCTTCGTCACCTGCTTCTGGGTCAGGTATGAAGTTGGGCCCTATGCGTTCTGCTTCGTTTGTGTTGACTTCTGCAGGTGTAACGTAACCGTTGTCGGCGAAGTGGTAAAATACTTCGGCGTTGGTGCTTTCGCGAGGATTTTCGTCATCCATTGGGACGTCGACGGAGCAGTAAGGGAGAAGTCCGGCTTCCTCCGAGGCTTCATCCACGTTCTGCTCGTCCCAGTCAGCTTCGTCTGCTGTCGAGGCGAAGGCTCGGTCGCCACGGAAACCACCTGTGGGATCCCGATCTTCTTCCAAGTTGGCAAGGTACGTCGAAAGGGTGAGTCGTTCGTAGAAAATGACATCACGTGCTGCTACTGTTTCCTTGGAGTGGACGTCGAAAATCTTCCACGCGTTGTAATTTCTTTCGATGCTCAGGTGTAGTCCCCACTGTGCGCGTTGGGAAAAACGGCCGGCTCGTGCAGATGGGGGTCGGTACTGTACCATGCACCCGAAAACTCTTAACATTTTTGTACTGCCCTGTTTTCCTGTCCACAGCAGGTGCGGTGATGCGTTGTTCGGGAGCGATGATGACGAGAGCAAGTTGTGCAGCATGACAGCGTGGTCCATTGCTTCGGGCCATTGGTGGTTGGGCAGTCGCATGCCTCGTAGCAGCTTGCGCATGGTGTTCTGAAGAGTTCTGTTCATTCTTTCTGCTACGCCTTGCTGCTGGTGAGCGTAGGGAAGAGAGATGAGCCTCTTGATCCCTCTTTCTGCCAAGTACTGCTTGAACCTCTGTGAGGTGTATTCTCCTCCTCCGTCTGACTGGAAGCTTTGTAGCTTCACGCCCGATTCTCGTTCTGCTACTGGGAGCCAAGCGACGAAGGCCTCGAAGGCCATGTCCTTGCTCGGAAGGTTAAGGTGCCAAACGTAACGCGTGGCGATATCGATGAACGTGATGGTGTAGCTGTATGCTCCTTGTCCAGGTTTGCGGTTGTACAGGATGTCGCTGTACACTTTCTCAAGTGGTGCGTAAGCTGGTGCGCTGGGGTTGTGGTGAGAAGCGAATGGCCGATATGGTAAGTCAGCTTCGGGGCAGGTAAAGCACGTTCCACGAGCTCGTCGAAGTTCGCTTCCGTCGGTTAGGAGCAGTGAGTCTTTGTCAAGTACGCCTGCTCGGATTGTGTTGTTTAACACCGTGTTGCTTGGATGTCCCATTCGTGCGTGCCAGATATCTTCGCCAGCTCGATGTCTGGGTGAGCGACGGTACAAGTCGGAGTTGGAGTAGAAGCTTGCGGTGAGGTTTGTGCTTCGATGTACTTCTCGTGGTGTTGGGTTCAATTGCTGCGCAGGAGTTGGTGGAGTGTCGTCGTCGATTGGAGCCGGTGCAGTTGAAGGACCAGCGATTGGTGTCGATGTTGCCGCTGCTGCTGCCGTTGTTTCTGCTGCTGCC